ATCCTCCCCCCTCTCCCCCTGCAGGGAATTTCGAAAAATCCCTTCTTAGTATGCGTTTCCATGACGTACCCCAACTGTCTACCAAATTTCACCTCTAGGTTAAGCGGTCTGCTCTGGGCGATGATGAATCAGTGAGTGAGTCATTCAGTCAGTCAGGACAAGCAATTTTATATATTTAGATAAACATTACTAAGAATAAAATTTTCAATGAGGTGTAAACTACATCATCAAATCTATCAGTTGTTTTGCATGTGGTTGGTATAAGTTTAAAAAACAGAAAAAAAATTATTTAACAAAAGTAACACTAACTCACATTACAAATAATTTCTTTAAACATTTGCACTTCAGTTTTTACATATTAAAACTTACTTGAATATTTTGAGTGGATATTATGCAAAATGACAATTATGGGTAAAGACCACGTTAAGCAGCAGCAAAATCTATGTGATGAACAGTTCAGTTACTGCTTTGCTGCACACCCACATTGTTAATATACAGTACTCCTCTTAAACTAATATATTTTTGATAAAATTTGGATACCATATGAGACCAAATGTGTAAATGGGCATTAGAAGTAAATATGGACTAAATGTTTAAAAATTTTTGCTTTATATTGAACATTTTCAGCTATTTTTAGCAGTCATTCTCAGTTACACATTCAAATATCAATATGTTTCATAAGCATCATTAGACATAATTAAAAATGTCTGCTGGATATCAAATATTTAGTTTACAATTTTGTTCAATTCGTGATTTGTTTCTTAGGAGATATAAATATAAAAATACACTAAGTAATGCTGTATAGCATGGGATTATTACTACAACATATATTTTTATGGAGCAAATGAAGTTTTAAGTAACAAAAGAAAAACACATAAAAATAATTAAAAATTAATAAAAAAGAGATTATACACAGTTCATAACTTTTAAAAAAAATTCTAAAATGTATAATGTAATTTATACTTTTTTAATGTTTATACAGTGAGAAGTCAGTATAACAAAAACCAGTTTAATGAAATTTTCAGTATAACAAATTTATCTTGAATTCCCTACCACTTTCCTATTCATCTCAATGCAAAAATGTTTTAGTTAAACTGAAATTTTCATTATAATGCCAATTGTTAAACATAATAAAAATTCTTTCCATTAAGAAATAATAGTTTCATTATAATGAAATCTGTAAGTGCATAAATGATGAATATTATGTCAAACAGTCTGGCAACATTAATTTTAATCCTTAGTTGCAGTTTCATTTTGATGCTATTACTCTACAGTTATTTCTTTTTACGTTTATGAAAAAAATAGAGAAAAACAAAAGTAGTTTTCTTTCAAAAATAATAAAAATACAGTGCAAAAAGGAATTAAACAGAAAGATGTGCCTGATGGTCTTCTAGAATACTGTCACAGTACAGGATTTATCAAAAAAATTTATTAATTAAATAACACGAACAAAAATTAACATTTCTTTAAATTAATTAATTAAGCAGAAAATAATGGCTTCAAGCATGTGTGTGTCCCTTTGGATAACCTATTGGCTATATCAGATGTGTTAACATGTATTTACCATGAGTTAGAGCAGTGTTTCTCAACGGGGGTGATATCACCCCCATGTGGGCGATTTTTCATGTTGAGGGGGGCGATTAGTAACAATTTATGTTTTGGCAGCAAAAAACAATTTTCTGGGCGATATAATAAAACATTATAGTAAGAATAATTAGATATTTTATTTGTTATGTCATAATGTTATTTGTTTAATTATTGTACATTAGTCACTAATCTATTCAATGCAGTAAGAATTTGGCGTTAGCCTTGGCTCTGGGCATCGGAATTTTGAAGTGAAGGGGGCAATACTATAACAGTTTTATTGAAGATGGTGATGATTCGTTAAAGGTTGAGAAACACTGAGTTAGAGGAAAGATTACAAAATTGGTACCATTATATTGTTATTTTAGTTGTCTGCTCATGATACTTTTGATAATTTTTTATTACAGCATACATTTTTATTCTGTATTTAATATAACTTACATTGTGAAAATGTGAAATTTGGTTCCCTATAAATACTAATAGATAAATTGTGTTTTTAAAAACTTTTGTACTTCAAAATTTAAACAATTCCTTTTATCCTTGCAATNACGTCCTTTATGAAGGCATAGAGCCTTTACTACATGAAAATGAAAATTAATGAATACACTGTGTACAGTAATTTATCTGATAAGACAGACCTCAGAAAAATACTTTGAGGCATAAAGCTGTCTATAATGAAAATTAACTAAGGATTTTTTTGCCCTGCCAGGGTGTGGCCGAGTTTTCGAGACACTACTGTATTTGGTTTTATGTAGAATGAATTGGTTTCATTTGGATCAATATATTAAAAAATGCTTAATTATTTTTCTAATTTAATTAACATGTCTTATATTTTGAAAGCTGCTAACTTTTTATTCTGTAAAAAGGAATTCTTTAAAAACATCCTATCAGATGCTGATTTCATGCTACTGCTTTGGTATTTTTAAAGATTACAGGAATTTTAATATTGTATGTAGAAACTATTACATTTATACTTCATATTAATTAAATTATCCACAACTGTGAGACAGATAATAGTGAGGGCTTATCAGACCAATGATGGGCACAAACACTCAAAGTCAAAGAGATCAAAGTGAAAACAATTTAATAAACTCAAAAAATTACTACATAAGTGTGAAAACGAAAACCCAAAATGCATTTCGGACTATTTTCCCAATAGAAAATAGTCCCTCATCAGTTGGTATTAGTTAAAGGTAATGCTATAATAGAATTATACAAGGTATTGGTCGACTTAAAAACTAAGCCTAAAGTTATACAATATAAAAATTGAAGACCCCACTATAACAGTATGAGTAGTAAGCATCATCAGTAAGTATTATCTAAAGTAGATGGTATATTAAAAATTATACAAAGTAAAGGTAAACTTAAAACTATGCCTAAAACTATACAATATAAAGGTGAAGATGCCATTATAACAGTATGAGCAGTAGGCAATGTCAGTGTAGACAGGTGTAATAAATCTTCATGACTTTGCATGGTGGAGTGACATACAGGGTGCAAAACCAGTAAGACGACAGAGTAGCAGGTGCCAGTTTACAAGGTGCTGGGAGTGGTGAGGGAGGTGTGTGTCAGTCCACATCTGGTGTACAAGTGGTGACAACATACGATAAAAACCGTTGGGAACTTGTAATTGTATCATATGTTGTCACCACTTGTACACCAGATGTGGACTGACACACACCTCCCTCACTACCACTCCCAGCACCTTGTTGTAAGCTGGCACCTGCTACTCTGTCGTCTTACTGTTTTTGGTATGTACATTACCTGTCTGTATAACTTTAGTCCATTAGTGTTAACTAATAATTGTCTAACTTATAACTGTTTTGTATCTGCACCCTGTATGTCACTCCACCATGCAAAGTCATGAAGATTTATTACACCTGTCTACACTGATATTGCCTACTGCTCATACTGTTATAATGGCATCTTCACCTTTATATTGTATAGTTTTAGGCATAGTTTTAAGTTTACCTTTACTTTGTATAATTTTTAATATACCATCTACTTTAGATAATACCTACTGATGATGCTTACTACTCATACTGTTACAGTGGTGTCTTCAATTTTTATATTGTATAACTTTAGGCTTAGTTTTTAAGTTGACCATTACCTTGTATAATTCTATTATAGCATTACCTTTAACTAATACCAACTGATGAGGGACTATTTTCTATTGGGAAAATAGTCCGAAATGCATTTTGGGTTTTCATTTTCACACTTGTGTAGTAATTTTTTGACTTTATTAAATTGTTTTCACTTTGATCCCTGAGCGTTTGTGCCCATCATTGGTCTGATAAGTCCTCACTATTATCTGCCTCATGGTTGTGGATAATTTAATTAATATAATTATATCAAGGGCTAGAAGCTACTCTTGTAATAATTTCATTTATACTTCACTTCTATAACTGGTAGTTTTTCAGCAAGTGATTTTTTTTCCCCACAAGCTTAATGAGATGATAATCCTGGAATATCAGATATCAATAAAAAATAAGGAATTTCATACACTTAACAGAAAATTTATACTAATCATAGAGGCAATGAGTTGTAAAGAGGGAATATACTGTGCCTCAAAAAAAAAATTATAACTGTTAATCCTTAATTATGGGAGTATAAATTTGATTCAAGTTTTCATTTTTCTAATATAAAAAACCAGCGATGATTTGCATAAATTTCCTGGCTGTTGTTAGTTTTTTTTAAAATAGCTTTTATATTATTAATCAAAATAAAATTGTATGTGGTGCAATCTGTTGCAAGATTTTGTTATAAACTTACTTTTTTAATTACAATAAAATGGCAAAAAGCTTAATCTTGAGGGTAGGGATGAGTTTTATAAAAAAATTTGTAAATGTATGATGATATTTGTTAAGTCCTACCTCTGTCAAGATATGACACGCAACACCATTATCACCCCACAACTTTTAACTACCAAAATTTAATAACATCCATGCCCCTCATATAAAAGCCACCACGCCAAGTTTCGTTATCTTTATCCCAAGATTAAGAATTAAGCAAAATAGATGTGCGCACAGAACTTTTTGACTTTTTTGGATTTGGGAGGTCTCAAAATATATCATTAAACTTTATATTATAAATGGATTTTTTCAAAACAAAAAAAATATTTACAAATCAGTGGCATAACTAGAATTAAATTAAGGATCTAAATTATCTTGCCATCAAAGTCTTAATATAAGCATGACCATGAATAAGTTGAGAGACTTTATTTGATGATGTAAATATTCTCATTCAATCAATATTTCTGAATGCCAAATTTATTTTAAAAGTAAAATGTTTTGAATATCTAAGAGTGGGATTCAAAAGTCTTACAATAGTGGCATAATAAAACAAACTGTCTTAAAATTATGTTTATGATATCTTTTACTGAATTTTGTATTTTATAAATAATAATAATTTCAAAATTTAAATCATATCTTTATTAATACTGTGTTGTAGTGTAATACAAAACTTAATACATAATTGAAGACCTGACTGTAAGAAATGCACTAGTCCATTTTTTTTAGAAATTCTAGTGGGTTGCTGGACTTGTGTATTTGTCACTAACCATATCAAAAGTGTGAGAAAAAATGCAGATCTCTCTGTTGTTCCTGCTGTTCTTGTGTAGAAAGCAAGTCGCCCTTTTTTTTACAACAAAATGTACGAGTCCACTACAACTAATTGACATTGCGAATTACGGGCGTGTGAGTGCTCGTAAACAAAAATGACTGCATCCACAAAGACAACGGAAATAGTAAAAAAGAATGAGAAAGCAAGAACAAAAGTATTCATTTTTATAATAATGCTACTTTAAAAAAAAAATCATTAATTTAGCCATTTCCTGAAATGTTTCTTGTGACTTATTCAGACTGCAGTTTACCATCAAATATTATTACAATAAGTGACAAGAAAAATTTGAGGCACATCATAGATTATGGGCAGATATCTGACTCTTAGTGTTCATAGCACCCTTACCAGTAACAGGCAAAACCATTCATTTTGTTTGGATAGTTCATGTGGTGAAGATGATCCTCACACAATATTTGACTGGACATAATCCTTTGTCTTATTTAAGTTTTCAAGTATATAAGGTAGGTATATATATTCTGTTAATATGAATGATTTGGAATCTGCCATCTTGATTTTAAAAATATCCTTTTTAAAATTATTATAAACTTTTATTATTCATAATTAAAACATAATTTTACCAAATCTTGAAATCCTAAATATATCAAAATATCAATTATAAATATGTAATTTATTTAATAATAGAAATGGACAAATTAAAGATATGACATTTAATTTTATTAAAGTCAATTAGTATTAACAATATCATCTACTTAGTCTATTAACAGAAAATAATGTACTGATATCTCCCTCACATATGATTTTCAAATTAAATACTGTATACTGTTTTGCTTGTTTTTGCTATCCACCCTTACAAAATCAAAATTATTACATTGTATAAAAAATAAAATTATTTAAAAAAATACAATTAGTTTATCAGATCTTTTTAAAATGTATCAGTTCAAATTAGTCTTCAAATTCAATAAACATTCTATTTTTAAAATTAATTAATAGAATTAAATTAACTAGTTCTTTCTGCCTGTTACCGGTGAGGGCACTATAATCCTAAGACCAACTACCATCGAGTCTATGGGAATCGGCTATCTGGTCCATAATCTGTAGTCAGTATTGTCAAAACAACACCTAAATGGTTGTTTATTTTCAGATTGCATTGACAGCGATCCATGACAAATTCTAACAAGTAGATGTAATCGCAGGTTGTTGCATTCAATTTTCAGCTTCCAATAGTAACTGGTTTATTCTCAACAGCTAAACGTCCAGCATGCAAAGAATGTTTGAGAAACATGGATCTCTGCCATAACATAGCATATAACAGTTTATAAGTATTATTTTTCAAAGATACTAAAAACGTTTTAAATTAACATTAATTAAATAATTGTTTAGAATAAAATTTTAGATTCTTTATTGAAAAATAACAAGTACAAAAAAAAATTGATAAGTCCCATTTGAAAATCTAATGTTAGCCCCAGTCTCACCCACAAAGGGTGTGGTGTGTATTTTTTATTAATATGTCAATATACTAAAATTAAAGTCTAGATGTAGCTAAGACATAAAAATGGCAAGATCAGTTGAGACAAAGAACTATTTTACAGGAAAGAATAGGATAGCTTTTTATGAAGGGGACAATACATAAGACAATAAAATTAAAAGCCTTCCCTGAATAGGAGGACACTGTTACTGTTAATAATAATGTTTCATAAATCATTTTATTATTTTTTAAATATTTCCAAATAAATTTGAATCTAGTTCAGGCCACAAACTGTCCACATTTGACATTTCATTCTTTGTATTCTACAGCAGATGTGTTATTGACATGTGGTTTGTGCCTTTTTTTTTCCTTTTTTTTATAGCAAATCTTATTGTATTTTTCTTCCCCAATTCCAAAAATGAAAGATATTTCATGTAATATTACATCACAGTACTACTAAGGTATAAATAATAATATACTTTGATTTCTAGACACTAACATTTTTTTTACATGATTTGTGTGTTTATTGCATTCAGGTTTTCAATTTACATAATTTGTATATGGTATGACCTTAAAAAAAAGGCACTAGTCTGAGACTCTCAGTACTTGCTGAAAACAAAACATTTCTTTTCCTTACATTTCTTAAAACTTCTTGAAAATTATACATGTTATATTACAAATAATAATGATACATTCTGTATACAAATAAATTTCAAAATATAATAAAAATGTACAAAAAAAATTACTGTACATAATCAATTTTTAAAATGATAACGGATTCTATAATGATCCTTAAACTTCAAAGGAAGATCGTAACCTGTGGCTTTTGCTCCTAAATATGCAGCACCAAGAGCAGATGATTCAGTTAATTGGAGAAGAGTGAATTCCTGAAGTTTTCCATCAAGAGCTGAGTGAAATCCTGAAATAACTTTTAAAAATTAGAATTTTGACTAAAGTATTTCAATACTCATATCAATGCAAAAATAAATTTCATTAAAATATTTTGTGAAGAAAGTATGGAAATTAGGACATATAATCTTGTTTTGTTATGCGCACATTTTTAGATGATAATACTGTACATTTTAAATTGCTATTTTTTAAAATATGTTAAACTGATTAATTTATAAATAATAAACTCTGCAGTTACAAGTATAAGAAATGTCTGCAATAAATACATGTATACTTCTAGGTAAATTCTAAATATTCAAATTAATTAATCAAATGAGTTGTTATTATATGAAAGTTTACTGATGACAAAAATGAATATAGTAAAAGTTCCTGACTTATGTAAGCCTGAGTGACAAATTTTCTTGGTACAATTGTAAAAATTTGAAAATATATTTTTACTAACAGATGAGCCCAGTGTAAAGCAGAGATTAAGATTATTAGATTATTTTGTATTTCTAACCCTTCTACTATATTATATTATGGTATTTAAGTTATGTAAGATCACCTTTGTAAATATAAGAGTTTATCACGAGTGCCCAATCTAACACATTTTAAAAATTCTTTAAATTGTGTACAATAGAAGAATAAAGACCAATAGTTATATAGTTGATCTTACTTGTTTTTACTGAGTTCAAGAACATATTTTTAGATGGGTCTAAAAATATGTTCAACTAGCTGTTACCCACGACTTCGTCTGCAGAGGTTTTGCAAGCAAACCCCATTTACATTCAATATTTCAATAACCATAGTAATTGTTATAAAACACCTATCGCTGAGAATGATGAGAATTGCCGAGAATCAAACGAACTATTTTCAATTTGATCAATTTTCTGGAACATTTACAATCGTTCTATAATCGAACCAATATGCAATAACAAATTCGAATCTAAAGCGGTTTGAACATTTTTAAAATTGAAGTAGATAAAAGTATTTATAACAATGTCTGAAATGTTATTAAATTAATATATCTAAGTACTTGATTAAGACTAAATCCTCTCCTGCCCACGGGGGAATTTTGAAAAATCCCTTCTTAGCATGCATTGCCATGGCATACCCTACCACAATGCAGATAAAAACAAAAAATCGCATCTAAAATACTACAGTAGAAGCCACTGCAGTTAAGCCTTAATCCTCCCCCCTCTCCCCCTGCAGGGAATTTCGAAAAATCCCTTCTTAGTATGCGTTTCCATGACGTACCCCAACTGTCTACCAAATTTCACCTCTAGGTTAAGCGGTCTGCTCTGGGCGATGATGAATCAGTGAGTGAGTCATTCAGTCAGTCAGGACAAGCAATTTTATATATTTAGATAAACATTACTAAGAATAAAATTTTCAATGAGGTGTAAACTACATCATCAAATCTATCAGTTGTTTTGCATGTGGTTGGTATAAGTTTAAAAAACAGAAAAAAAATTATTTAACAAAAGTAACACTAACTCACATTACAAATAATTTCTTTAAACATTTGCACTTCAGTTTTTACATATTAAAACTTACTTGAATATTTTGAGTGGATATTATGCAAAATGACAATTATGGGTAAAGACCACGTTAAGCAGCAGCAAAATCTATGTGATGAACAGTTCAGTTACTGCTTTGCTGCACACCCACATTGTTAATATACAGTACTCCTCTTAAACTAATATATTTTTGATAAAATTTGGATACCATATGAGACCAAATGTGTAAATGGGCATTAGAAGTAAATATGGACTAAATGTTTAAAAATTTTTGCTTTATATTGAACATTTTCAGCTATTTTTAGCAGTCATTCTCAGTTACACATTCAAATATCAATATGTTTCATAAGCATCATTAGACATAATTAAAAATGTCTGCTGGATATCAAATATTTAGTTTACAATTTTGTTCAATTCGTGATTTGTTTCTTAGGAGATATAAATATAAAAATACACTAAGTAATGCTGTATAGCATGGGATTATTACTACAACATATATTTTTATGGAGCAAATGAAGTTTTAAGTAACAAAAGAAAAACACATAAAAATAATTAAAAATTAATAAAAAAGAGATTATACACAGTTCATAACTTTTAAAAAAAATTCTAAAATGTATAATGTAATTTATACTTTTTTAATGTTTATACAGTGAGAAGTCAGTATAACAAAAACCAGTTTAATGAAATTTTCAGTATAACAAATTTATCTTGAATTCCCTACCACTTTCCTATTCATCTCAATGCAAAAATGTTTTAGTTAAACTGAAATTTTCATTATAATGCCAATTGTTAAACATAATAAAAATTCTTTCCATTAAGAAATAATAGTTTCATTATAATGAAATCTGTAAGTGCATAAATGATGAATATTATGTCAAACAGTCTGGCAACATTAATTTTAATCCTTAGTTGCAGTTTCATTTTGATGCTATTACTCTACAGTTATTTCTTTTTACGTTTATGAAAAAAATAGAGAAAAACAAAAGTAGTTTTCTTTCAAAAATAATAAAAATACAGTGCAAAAAGGAATTAAACAGAAAGATGTGCCTGATGGTCTTCTAGAATACTGTCACAGTACAGGATTTATCAAAAAAATTTATTAATTAAATAACACGAACAAAAATTAACATTTCTTTAAATTAATTAATTAAGCAGAAAATAATGGCTTCAAGCATGTGTGTCCCCCTTTGGATAACCTATTGGCTATATCAGATGTGTTAACATGTATTTACCATGAGTTAGAGCAGTGTTTCTCAACGGGGGTGATATCACCCCCATGTGGGCGATTTTTCATGTTGAGGGGGGCGATTAGTAACAATTTATGTTTTGGCAGCAAAAAACAATTTTCTGGGCGATATAATAAAACATTATAGTAAGAATAATTAGATATTTTATTTGTTATGTCATAATGTTATTTGTTTAATTATTGTACATTAGTCACTAATCTATTCAATGCAGTAAGAATTTGGCGTTACCTTGGCTCTGGGCATCGGAATTTTGAAGTGAAGGGGGCAACACTATAACAGTTTTATTGAAGATGGTGATGATTCGTTAAAGGTTGAGAAACACTGAGTTAGAGGAAAGATTACAAAATTGGTACCATTATATTGTTATTTTAGTTGTCTGCTCATGATACTTTTGATAATTTTTTATTACAGCATACATTTTTATTCTGTATTTAATATAACTTACATTGTGAAAATGTGAAATTTGGTTCCCTATAAATACTAATAGATAAATTGTGTTTTTAAAAACTTTTGTACTTCAAAATTTAAACAATTCCTTTTATCCTTGCAATTTTTACTATATTTCAATATAACGAAAATATAAAATTGATTTAGATGTACAGTATAAATATAATTCTAAACATTTTTCTTAAAAAAATTAAAATTCAGATTATAAAAAAACACCTCTTATGTCCACTTCCCATATATAAATTGTTTATACAAAAAATATAAAAACAAATGTAATGATATTGTCACACACATTATTGCTTCTCAAAGAAATCAGTTATCCAATGCAATGAATTTTGTTTTTAATAAAGAAGAAAAGAAAAAAGACCAACAACTCAATGTTGCAGGTGTTGTATATAAACTCTCATGTACATGCTCTCAACCAAAGTGTTACATAGGAGAAACCAAATAAAAGCTAAAAAAGAGACTAAAAAACACAAGGAGTCTCCTTGGTATCAACATTGTAGTAAATTTAAGTGTAAAATTGATAGAAATAATATTAATATTCTGTATAAAGAAAATAATGTAATTAAATGTTGCAAAAAAGAACACTACAGCATAATGAAATATGTAAATAAAAATTTAAATATAGGAATGTCGGTTGATGCATGCTGGGATGGCTTTGTAAAGTATTAAGGCACTGATGTAAAATCAAGTATCAATATCCACTGATGCAGCCAAATTATGCTGGCAAAATGCATTTGGATAAAGAAAGGAAAAAAGTAAAATAAATTTCTTTATTTGTTAAATATTCATGTTGTTACTTCCTTGAAATTGGTGCAGATAGAGTGTTTTTTACTCTATAATCTAAATTTTAATTTTTTAAGAAAAATTTTAGAATTATAGTTATACATCTAAATCAATTTTATAAATAGATAACCGATCCCATTGCCTAATTTTATTTTGTATTTCAAATAACAAAAATATTTTAATGGTCCCCACAATTTCTATATACTGACATTTCACTGTACAGGTATACCTCGCCTTACGTCGGTAATTGGTTCCAGGAGAACGACGTAAGTCGAAAAACGACGTAAGTCGAATTTACTTGTCTCCGAATCTACTTATCACTAGGCTAAACCGTAAATTACCATTTCCGGTTCTGTATTTTATTTATTAATGCATTTTTAATAATATATGGCAAATAAAAATCTATTTTAAGCTTACAAACAAATAAATTTTAGTTTTTAATATAGTACAAAAAAAGTAATCTAAATTTACGAATGCATGTACTGTAAATACAGTACATACTTGTATATATTTTAATATGATTTTATGTGCTTTAAACGTTTATCTAGTNGCCCACCAGTGGCCGAGTGGTCTTCGTACCCTAAACACTGGGAGTTCGGTCGTGGGTTCGCGCCGCGATCGGACAGGCTGGCTGCTTGGAGTTTTCCGGGTTTTCTCCTTGCCAATAACGACTAAATAGGAGGCCAGTTCCCCATAAAAGTCCTCCCGGAAGGCATTAGTTCCCCTCGCGTAACATCGCACCCCAGAGAAGGCAACGGGAAACCACTCTGGGTAGTAACTTTCCCTAGTATACACCTTGGCGGATTACAAACTTACGCCAGGTGTCGCCGACGTCAGAAATCTGATATGGCACCAAGAAGAAGAAGAATTATAGTCATATTAATATTATATTACAGTATATGTTTATCCAAAAATTAGAGTTTGATTTATGAATAAAATCATCCAACAAATGAATAGAAATAGAATTTTAATCTAAAAGAAAACAAATAATTTAATTAAAGAGAAAATTATAAAATTTTACCTTCTTGTAAAAGTTTCCAACTCTTAAAGACAGAACCAACACACAAAATAGGAAGCCCACCTTTTTCTGTTAATAAACTCTAAAAGAAAGAAAAAACATTTATATTTATTGTATTATATTGTGTGTTTAATAATATTTTAAAGGAATAATAAATTATTTAAACAAAAAGTTACTCGATGGATCTGTGGAAGTACAGCAATGAGATGTTTTCCAAGTGCTTTTCCTGCTTCATTAAATAAAAAGCAACACAAAGGATCCTCATCTTCTATTGCAACTATTTAATCACAAATAAATTAAATTCAAATTAAATATAAAATTATTAATAATATTTAATATAATTAAAATAACAAAAAAAAAGAATAATTAAAACTGGTTATGTTTAAATTATTATTGATTAATGAATAATGTTTCAATCTTTTAATATAGGATTCTTTGTGAGAATGGATCTTTTGACTCTCCTCACTCTTCTCTCAATGTACATTAAAATTCATTTCTTTTTAAGAGATCTTCAGCTTTTTCAAAGGATTATCTACTTTTAATTGATACTATTTATTAACACTTAATAATAACATACATATCATCATGCCCATTGCCAGCAGGAGTGGGTAACGGGCAAAAGGAATCACATGCATCACACACACAAACACAAACACACACACACACACACACCCATTTATCAGACTCCTCTGGATACTTCTGTCTTTGTATACCTCTTTTGCTTCTCCCATCTTCAAATGCTCATCCACTTACTTCAACCAGGTTCCACGCTCTAAATTTGTAAGCAGATACAACTTATAAATGTTAAAGTGCATATAAACAGTATCAATTAAAGACAACATCTGCTTTTCAAAAGATTAAATCAATGTATGTTAAATTACAAAATAAAAAGTAACCTCCTCACTCATTTTTTTGTATTTTGGGAGTAAGGCAAAGACTCCACTAACATAAAAGCGGGCTTAAAAACTTTTAATCACATGACTGTGATATTTTACGCCTGAGCAGGTCATAAAACCAGCATAAAAGCAAGTTGAGCAGTGTTCAACTTTCAACACGAATATGGCCGTAAAACAGTACCATCCACAATCAGAAATCAGTGAAATCTAGGTCATTGTGACATGGTGCGAAAATGGCAGAAAATGAACTTTTGTGTATGTTCTCTCATGGCTACTCTAGAATAGATCTGGAAAGATTTATCAAAAACATCCGAAAGTATTTGTGTATCTATGACAAGAGGTACAAGTAACCACCATATAACACGGGAGTTATGTTCCAAAAAATTGCCGTGTTATGCGAATCCATGTTATACGAAACAAAGAACTAGTATGAAAAGGGGGGTTAGGTTAAAAACATGCTATTATATTTTCATAATTAAGATAAATATCTTTATTAAAATTTTCTTAACTGATACATATTAATATAAATTAAACAATGTTTTCTTTGTCATCACTAAGCACTATTAACCAAGGGTGTTTTCTTTTTGGCAAGATATCCTTATCCTCTGAGCATTTTTCTGCATTATCTTCAGATCCATGCTCTACCTTTTGCAAAAATATGTTATTTTAGATTGCTTGCTTTTAGTTAAAAGATCTTTATAAATTTCCCTATATGGTGCTAAGCACTTATGAAGAATAAAGCAAGTATGGAATAAGGGAAAACATCTGGCAACACAAAATTAGAAGCGTCGAGATCTGGCAACACTGAAACAAGTTTCGAGAAGGATTACGTGTATCAACAGAAAGCGGAAAAGAAAATTTACATACTTAAGTACTAATAATTATTAATACTTAAGTATGTGAAAATTTATTACATTTCGTGTTGTACAAGGTTTTACCTAATTCTCGAACCATGTTAGAGTGAATCCGTGCTATAGAAGTGCCGTGTTATATGGGGGTTACCTGTATCCCGATTATAAAGGACAATCCTTTAATTTAGAGGACTATATAATAAAAAAAAGCTAAGCTTATAAGTGTTGCATATTATCTTAATAATGCAATAATAAAAGTTAATATATGAAAGTAAAGATATTATTTTTACTACATTTGTAATTATAGTACAGAAAAAGTCATAGAATATAATCATTGTCTTTATATCGATATATCACATATACAACCGTCTTCCGTTTCTACCAATTCATGTGCACAGAAGTACTTACTTTCGACACTTGGGGCAGCACCATCGCCATAAAAACTTCACTAGCAGACCTCCACCGCAATACAGACACAAATGCAAATAGGTCACGTGATTAACAGTTTTTATGACAAAGGTTTTTACGCCTATTTTTACGCTAGTGGAGTCTCAGCCTGAGAGTCTTTAGGCATTTTTAAAATAAATAACTGAAGATATTTATAACAAAGAAGTGAAACTATTATTAAAAACATTAAGTGACAATATTGTCAAGAAAATATATTCAAAACTCAATTCAGAGCCACTTCTGATATTGGCACTAAATCAAATTAAACTATACAGTAAATTATCTCAAATTATAAGAATTATATATGGTAATAAGATCTACATTCAAGTTAGAATTTGAAAATGAATTACTAAATGTGTGAATATCATACATTTAGTAATTCAGATACTAAAGTGTTTTGTATTTAATATTTATTTGGAAAATCCACTCACTAATATTCATATTGACATTTTATGAGTGTGATGCTATATCAAGATTTGATTATATTCACATTTATTTATTAAATATTTAAATAAAATGTTAATGATTTCAATTATTTAATTTACCTTTTGCAAGTTTGGCACAAAGACCAGCAAAAAATGTTTTACTAAAATTTACATAACAATGTTCTAAGAGACCAAATTTATCTTCAACCTAAAAAAGTAATAATAATGTAATTAATTTTAATTCAAAACAGTTCTTTAATATATTGGGTTGTTCGGAAAATAATTTCGTTTTTTTCTGTGGAAAAAACCACAATATTTTTACAATAAATAAATATTTTATTGAATTATATATCAACCATTTTGGTCAAATACCTGTTGTCATCGTTTCTGGTAGTAGCATGATTTCACATTCATAAAAGTTTTGATCGTTGCTTACAAAAAACTGATCCAAGTGATTTTTGACATTGTCATTTCAAGTAAATGTCTTACAGTTAAAAAAAATTTGTATAGACCAGAACAAGTAATAATCTGAGTGTGCTCGATCTGGCAAATATGGTTGGTGTGATAGCAGGTCCCATCTAAGTTATAACAGTTTCTGACGAATTACCAAACTTGTGTGAAATTTGACATTATTGTGGTAAAACATTACACCTGTTTTGTTGATCAATTCTGGCCGCCTTTTCTGTTTGATGATATTACTCAATTTGTTTACTTGATGGCAGTACACTTTCGAATCAATTGTTAAATTGTCTGGTAAAAGCTCCAAAAAAAAATTTTCTTAAAATCCCACCAAAGAGAGCATCTCTCTTTAAGAACATGTGGAACCCATATATCAAGCTTTGAAACAAAACCAATTTGTTTCAAGTAATCATAAACAGTTCAATTTGACAAATTTTATCTCTTAGTGATTTCACATGTTGTTATTTGGCAATTTGCTTCAATCAGTACCTTTATTTTGTTTTCATTAGTTTCAATTGGCCATCCAGAATGTGGTGCATCTTCATTATTGAAATTGCCAAAACGAAATTTTGTAAACCAGTTTTGGCACTGTCGTTCTGTCAATACATCTTCTCCATAAACGTCACACAATTTTTTTCTCACTCGAACAGCATTCTTACCTTTTCGGTAATAAAAGAGCAAAATATGCTGAAAATGCTGCTTTCGATCTTCCATATTTGATGGGCACAAAAAAATAAATAATTGCACAAAATCAAACAAAATTTCTTACAAATAAGCCTTAAAATGCTAGCTGTCAAAATATATAATGATAATACGGTTTAGAATGAAAATGGAGAGAAAAATAAGACTAATCCGTCTGGTGGTAAAAAAAAAAATGAAATTACTTTCTGAACAACCCAATATTATAAAAGAAATACAAACAATTATTTATTGTGACACCATCACAATGCCAGGCTGTAATTTTTAATTTATTTAATTTAAAATATATGCTCTCCACCTCAGTAATGTCTTCCCCCTGTTCATCACACTTTTCCTGTTAACAATTGAGTTGTGCCAGTCATCTATATAACCATTTTCAGGGGAAAATTTTTTAATTGAAACAATGCAACTTACGATGAAAACCAGAACTTTGTATACAATTAATCGTGGCCTCCTGCCCCTAAGCTTCCCATATCTGGTTTTGACTTCAGAAATTTGTTAAACATATATTTGCTGAAAGAAAGAAGTCTGAATACATAATAAATTATAGATGTTTCTAGGAGTACTCTAAGATTCAACCACTTTGATTATTCATGATATAAAAAAAATCTTGTCAGTGTATGCTTTATAATTCTTAAATTTTTTCTGTTTTTGTTGTTGTTTGTTTTAATTCTTTTTTATTGTTTTGTATATTGTTGGTTAGGGATTTTATGTTGATATGGGGGAGGAAATTTGCTGTCCTAGGACATAAATAAATAATTTCTCTAAATCACCTTTTTAATCATAAAAACTTACAAACTTGGAACCATGGCACATTGTCAAAAAAGAAATAACTGCCAAAAACCAAAAATGTTTATTGTCCTTTAATTTATAAAATTTATACTGAATATAAAAATCAAAAAATATCATTATAAAATTCAATTTTTAAATACAATACATTTGACAATTCATAATTATTTATAAAAGAGTTACCTGGAAATGATCCAATACAATTCTTTTCACAACAGATATATCATATGATGAAGGGTTAAAATTATCTTCAGTATCAAATATAGTTTTAACTGCTTTCTGTGAAATCCAAAATCCTATATGTAAATTTAAAAATAAAATTAATTATATTAAACACTATAATTTAATAACAATTGATAGAACCTAAACATAGTCTATAATTCTGATTATTTGGTTTACAGGTATACTTTTGGATATAATGCATTCTTAAAAAACACTATGACACTAGCTCAGTTAAACTTGTGTGAGGTGCCATCTGTTTGTTATGTTATTAAAAAAATAACTTTTACATTATAAATTATTATAAAAAGGCAAGAAATGCTTAATTTTGAGAGTAAGGGTAAGTTTTATAAAAAAAAAAAAAAAAATCTTCATTAACTCCTGTCCCTCTTGAGATACATGACCTCCTCTATCTACCCACCCCCTCAGCCTTACCCACCAAAATTTAATAGTATCAATGCCCTTATATAAATTACTATGCCAAATTTCATTCTTAATCTTTACCCCATCTTTAGATATTAAATTAAATAGACAAACACAAACACATCCACAGAATCTTTTAGTTTTTTGGTTCAGGAAGTCTCAAAATGTTGAGATTTGTAAAAATCCAGAGTCAAATTTGACACAATTATAATACTTTCCAGTGTTACATACTTTTACAGCCAGGAAAATAAAATTTATAGAAAAGTCAAACAAGTTGCATGTTATAAAGGAAACTAATAATGTTACCAGATAACTTATAAAATCTCTTATTAAAGTAAAGAAAGTTTTACAATGAATACGTAATAAAGCAAAAGCATTATTTAAAACATTAAAACCAACTTTAAACAGAGAACAGACAACAAAAATTAACTTCCATAGATGATTTTTATACTGTAGTATCAAAATGAAAAATGACACTACACGATAATACAAAAGTTTTGTTTGCTGAACAAAAATGTATAAAAAAATGTAAATTTGGTGTATAAAAAATAATAAAGTAAAGGTATCAAAATATCATATACAAAACAGCAAGTTGTCTGAAAGTCAAGAACTGCCTGTATATTGGATTAAAATCTGTATCTATTATATTTATTTTAATATTAATAATATAAATATAAAAATAAATTTATTCAATATATATTTGAATATTACATTAAAACAGAAATAAGTAAACAAAAACCAATAAAATTAAACCCAATAAAAAAAAGAAAGATACATAAGTTTTTAAGTGGCATCTGAAATACTGTTTAAGACAGGTATTACACTATAAAAGACATTTAATAAAGATCTTTTATATAAAAAATATTTTCTAAAATATTTTTTATATAAAAGCAATTAAAACCATCAATGATAGATGTGAAGAAAATGAATAAATTTAAAAGCTAATATTTATTAAAAAAATGAAAGAAAGTATACACAATTTCATTTATTTACTTCACAGAAGGTACATTACAACTACATATAATAATATAGAACATGTTTATAGAAATGAAATAAATATCTGTACATATATTTATCAGCATTTATTACTTTCAAGATTAAATGACTAAAAGGAAAAGTTATAATTTGAATGATACATCTCATCTTCAATCAGCACAGAAAATGAAGACAAATGCAGTGTCCAAGAACTAAGAAGAAAAAACTGAGGGTATGATGCCTTGTTACTTCAAGCATCAACTATTACAGTGGAAATGTCAAACATTGTGGTGAAAGAAAGGCTGACAATTCAACAGACACAAGATTCAACTGATAGTTTTAGAGAATTTATAATGTCTAAATTATGCAACATCCAATGTGCAAGATATGATCTTATATTATGACAAGCTAAGAGAAAAATACTTTCTGTATTTTCCTCTTAAAGTTTTGCTGTACACTTAGAACATAATGAGCTAGGCAGAGACTGCAAGTTACTCTTTAGCATCATCAACAGCCCAATTTGGTCAATTTGTAAATTTTGGAAAGTAATTTAGATCATATTTGTTCAACTTTCTTTCCTTAACAAAGGAATTAATGATTCATTGGATATGGTTAATAAGGTCATATGTATAGCTAATAAAACAAGTGACAATTGTGCATATGAATTTAATTTTCATTAAGGAACAATTATACTTATAATGTCATTTAAATGTCATTTAATGTAAAGATTAAAAAACCATTTTGTTTAAAAGCATAGCAAATAAAATCAGTTCATAATTTTAAAAACAATGTGATATTGTTATTTATAGTAAATGAGAAATGAAAAACTATTATGTGTAGCTATTTTACCTTCCAAAATTCAACTTTCATTATGGTTTATATACCTAAAAGGATGCATTGATTAGTAAATTATAAAATTGAATAACTTTCTTCTCTTGCCAGAAATTAAAGTGTAAATATAGGGTCTCATCCATGCTGACATAATTTTTTAATTGTATATTCTGCCTATACATAAAGAGTGATAACTTCAAAACTACAAACTTAAAGATATCTTCATCCATTCTGAAGTAGTTCTTTTAACTCTTCATATCTTGACATTGCAATTCTCAAAACAAGTAACAATGGATTCCTCTCTAGTCATACCTTGACAGCATTCATCTTACCCAGACACATCTTTTTGTTTTTGTTTTTTTTTTTTAGCAATAAACATACTGTTACAGCTTCATTGATTACCACAACACAAGTAAACATACATTTACCATCAATTTTTATTGAACTATGATAAAACCAGTCTTAACAAAGTTTATGTTCACATCAGTTAATTATAAATATAGCATTCTGTTAATGAATAATAACCACTTTCCAAGAAGTTTTTGAAAGCCCTGGTACAAAGATACAAAATCAGGTTTTTAAAATCCTATAAATTTTGTTTAAAAATTTTTAAAATATTGCTTGTAAAGTGTTTATACTTGCATAATTTGTCTTTATGATTTTTGCATTCTTTAATTTGGAAATAAATGTTTTCCAATAAATTTTTTCACATTTCAAAACAATGTGAGAAAATATCTACTTAAATTTTGCTATTACATTTAGGATTAAAAATTACAAATATGAAAGATTTATATGGTATATCACTTTTAAGCCTCTTTTTACATCTTAGTGAATTTAATCATGTATAAGAACAAATTTTTTACATTATTTATTGTATAGCTATTTACATGTATAGTATAGTACAATAATTTTGAAAATAAAAATTTATATTATTATAGTTACTTTTAATATGAATGATTTGTCTCAGATTGAAATTAAATGATAAAAAGTAACAGAATCAAATCATTTTGTAATACATGTTATTGTTTTAAAGTTTCTTTTATGAATTACAGTATGAAAAAAGTAGTGTGTTCACTTATGGGTTTGTCTTGGATAATACAGAACCTCAGTTAATCAGGTTCTACTGTATTTGAGCTATAATTTAAATTAGTAAGACGTTTAATGATAAAAAAATCATGCTCTAATTTGATTTATTCTGTAGTCAATTAAATTTGAATGAGATATAGTTGTAAAGTTCATAAAAACTATTCTTGATGAAATTTAAATGATTTTACAATTTTATTATGAATAATTAAAGCTGTAAAATTTAACATGACAATATTCTAAACAGCTTTTTCTAATAAAGCTGTTTAGAATATCTATTCTCAAATAAAAAAAATTTAACTTGAAAATATACTCTACATTAAAGATAAAGTATTCATTATTTTTAAATCTGTACAACATGATCTGTCCTGTATTATGTCTGCAAAACTGTTCTGTAAAATCTCTATTATCCTATAAACTTTTATATAATTAAATTATTACCTGAAGCTTCATCACCTAACAAATGTCCCCAGCCTCCACAACGAGCTGTTGTTCCATCAGGATTTAGAACCAGTAAATTGGAGCCTGTTCCAGCAATTAAACAAACACCACCTGAAATATTTAACAAACTAATATATAATTTTATTAATGAAATTATGAACTTTTGTAAAAATTTGTTAATCTAGAGAATATATTAAGTGAATTTATAATTTAAAATCTAAAATGAATGAATGATTTTGAAAAATTAATCATTGAATGCCACTTATTTCCTTGATTCAAGACTGTCCTAGCATTATTCTTAGCATTAAATATGTAGGCTATTGTTTTCAACCTCCAATAGTCCATAAAAAAAAGACAAGTGTAAATAACAAAATGAATTTATTACCAAAAGTTAGGTACAAACATGGTTACTTTCAGACATAATCACCATGAAGATTGAGGCATTTATCATATCTGTGGATGAGCTTTTCCATCCCCTTGTTATAGAATGTTACTGCCAATGACTCAAGATGGGCCCTAATGTTGTTTTGAAGATCGTCATTAGTCTCAAACCTCTGCCCTCCTAGCCACTTTTTCTGTTCACTCAGCGCTAAATTGGGGCTATATGCTGGGTGTTTAAAGGTGGTGAAGACTTCCACCCAGCTTGGAACTTTTTAATGTGTGAAGACTTCCATCTCTTTCCTGAACTGAAAACGTGGCTAGCAGGGCAGAGGTTTGAGACTAATGACAATCTTCAAAACAACATTGTTAAGACCATCTCAATTCACTGACAGCAACATTCTATGACAAAAGTTCGTCCACAGATATGACAAATGCTTCAATCTTCATGGTGATTATGTTGAAAAGTAACCATGTTTGTGCCTAACTTGTGAGAATCATAATTATATCATAAAATTAACGTGAGAAAATATGTCTATCTTTTCACATTTGTTACAAAAATGGATGATACAAGTGACACAGTTGTGTTAAAAAGGGAAATCAACTTCCTATTGCAAGAGTTTATCTCTAATCTTAACAAACATCTAGGTATCTAACCCCCCCCGTACATCCCATCTGTGGACCAAAATCCATAATTTTTATTGGTCAAAACTGACAATAAAAGGGGCAATTTCTCGTGATTCAGGGCAGTCTACATGAATTAGGAAAGTGCCATAAGTGATGACTGAGAAGTAAGCATTTAGTCCCCTCACTCACATCCTCCTCCTCAAACCTTGTCCAAGAAGATAGCTGACTCCATTTAACAAGAAGACCAAAATCGAGATCTTCAATCAAGGTAGTATGTCTAAGTTTTTGTAAACTCTCTCTCTCACACGATTAGACAAGGGTCCAGTATCTCTTTATCAATTATTATTTTCTTTTATATTTTGTTCTCATTAAATTTTGTTTTGTTTCTTTAAATGGTCTATCATTGAACTCAACCCTTTGCCAAAGTCTTATCATGGATCTACGATCCCTCCCTCCCGAAAAGGTATTTAAATTTAATCAGTAGCATGCCTAATGCTCTAATTAGGCTGGTGTCAAAAAAAATTAACAGGTAGATCAAACAAACTTTCTGTCCCCTAAATCAAATACTACTAAAAACCCATTCTAGTGAGCCTGCAGGTTCTTCCCAATCTGAGGCCGAACAAGAGTGAGAAAAACGCTTTCTCAACTCCAGATTCCCACATTAAGGCTACTTCAATTCACTAATGGCAACACTCTATGTCAAAGGGATGGAAAAGCTCATCCACAGATATGAAAAATGCCTCAATCTTCATGATGACTATGTCAAAAAGTAACCATGTTTGTACCTAACTTTTGTTAATAAATTCATTTTGTTAATGTCTGTATTGAAAAACATCTCTATTTTGTAAATGAAAATTATTCTTTCAGCTAACAGTATCAATTTAAATTTATATATTAATATCAAGAAAAAATCATTTTAAAACAAGAAACAAATCAATCTTTACAAAATGAGAAATAACACAGGAGTATTCATATTTAAATTATGAAAAGTTACAATAAAGTTTCATTATAATCATATAAATTTAGTTTAAATTGTACATTTAATTTTGAAGTGAGTTTGTGCACACGATAAATTGTTCAATGTGACTCTTTTGTTAATGTAATATGAAAAATTCACAAATAATTCATATTTTCCTATTCACTTTCACTGAGTCTAAAGAAAAGATTGTATGCTTAATTCATGTAAAATATTTTTGTACCTTAGAAAATCTTGTCCTTGACAAATAAAAGCTGCTTAGTTTTTTCTTTTTTCCATTTTGATAAGCATCCTCCACATCATTTTGCCATTTGAATACAACAATGGACATATCATGCTGTAGAAAATGTGCCATTTGAATACAACAATGGACATATCATGCTGTAGAAAATGTATCTCTCTGCATGTGATTTGACACTACTGGGCAAATGTTGTACAAGTTTTGTTAATACATGCATATTTGACAGCAACCTTCAAAAGCACTCTGTAGCAATGAATGAGCAACATGAAAAGTGTTGTCATATCTGGCAATTTATCACCAGTGTTGGCAATATTGCTTGCACATTCAAGTCAGTTGTTGATTTGGTAACAATTTTTTCATTCTGGCAATTTTTCTATAGTATTATAAATTTATTCAAGGTGTATTCAAATTTTTTCCTAAACACAGGGCTAGAATACAATTGCCTAGGGACTAGATCTTATATATCAATTTGTAAATTTTTATTTCTTTATATTTGAATTTAAATGGTTAGTGAACATAGTAAAGAGCTTCAGGCTTTCATTTACTACCAACATTTTAGAGTATGAATAGAAAAAAGTACCAATTGTATCAGCAGAATTCAATATCATATCATTTCTAATACAAATATTCAAAAATCATTAAACATAAAGGATAAATTCTAGCAAATTATGACCTAAAAAATATGAAAAGGATAAATTCTATTCTTTTCTAAAATTAATTATAACTAACATAAAATATTTACATTATTTAATTACTGATTAATTATTTTCAGTTTGAGGCTGTGTTCATATTGCCGATGACAACTACCATAGATCTTAAATGATAATGATAGCATATCTTTGATCATATTTGTTCATCGTCAAAGCATTCATATTGTTCATTATTTTTTGTGTTAGAGGACATGCAATTTACATTAAGCTTAGCATTATTCCATGGATTTCTGCACTTTTAGACTAAATTTGTCTCTATTTTAAAACTGGATATGCAGAATAAAATGTTAATTCTTTGACATTGACAACTGAATTTATTACTGTTAAGGAAAATATCAAAACATTGATGGTGAATCATAGCTATTACTATTCAGAGAAAAACACGAGATTTCCATGCTTTGATCTAGAAATTAAGATTAAAAGACACTAAAGAATTTTTAAATTATTTTCTTGTGTCTCCAAATACTTTTGACCATCTTTTAAGCTTTCTAGGGCTTCTTTCTTCAACATGTCAGATTAGTGGTTCTTCTATCTTGTTCAAAGAATTGTGGGAAGTTCATACTGATTGGCCAATACCATTACAACAACAAATGTTGAATCTTGGATAACTTTCACACTACAAATGACTAAGACAAAAATGCAACAACAATGATTAGTGTGAAGATTTTACAGACAAACACAAACAATAAAAACATTGGTTTCTGTTGTCATTGGCAGTGTAAGCAAAGCCTAAATTAGCATGTTAAAAAAAAGTTAGTTTCAATTTATTTTTAATATAACTCAGCATTAATCTATCTCAACAAGTAACAGTTATATGCAGTTCCTACTTTATTGGAGCACAAATATTCTAAAGTCCTTTGAACTCTTGATAACGAACTGAGAAGGCTTCAAAATACTAGGGGCTTACTTATTTAGAATGTTTTACTCCAATAAAGATCAAACTGTGTATAGATACTATTACTTTTAATATTATGATAAAATAATTATATATTAGTTAATTATTAACTTTTGAATGATTTTTTTATTACCATTTGGATTAACTGTCAATATGGAACCAACAGTATCACTAACAACTGCACAAGAAGTTGATAAAAGAGGATAATTTTTCAATAATGATTTCTCAAACTGTCTGTTACTTTCTTCTTGTTCACAACCACTCAAAGCTAAGCCCTAAAATAATAAACTTGTATTTAAAATAAACATTAAATTAATTTATGAAATTAACAAACATTCAATATTGAAATTTTTAATATAAGAAACTGATAAGTCTGTACAATGTCTGAAGTTAGAGTTTTTTTTTGTACAAAAGTAAAGAAAATTCCATTTCCAGATAATTCAAGAAATTCAAGTCAATTCTCCTACCAATGAAATGTAAATTACTTGGCCAACTAAAATTGGTGAATCATGTATGCATGTTTTAAAATTAAATAGAACCAATTAAAATCTTTTTTTCTAACAGATGAATGCTACAAATTGACTAGCATAAACCCAGATTCCACAAATTAACAGGATAGATGCCTAATGCATTATCAAGTCTTTTTCTACAATTTGATGTGAGTGCTCTCCAGTTGTTACTTATACAGTAATGCACAACATGTAACATAACTTGACTGGCTGTTATTTTTATTTTCAAACTAACAAGTTATAAAATAATTTAGTGTTAATCTTTATTTTAAAACTTAAAGATTTGAAAAACAGCACATTTATAACACTACATTTATTATAATTTAACAATCAAGTGAATTAAAGCCAAACAATTGTCAGATTAAATTAGATTATATTACCAATACTAATAATTATTAAACACCAAATAATTTGGCATTAGAAATAGACATTAGGCACCATCTCTTATTAAATTTAATAATTATAATTAAATTAATATTTATTAAATAATTTAGAAAATTCTGGAAGAAAAGAATTTGCCCAAAGTGAGACTGGAATCCACAACTGCCACTTAACATTTGAATGCATTGTCAATTATGCTATTCAGATCTCCATCTGATCGGAAATTCCCAAAGAATTCAGTCTAAGGAGATAGAACAAAAACAAATTGAAAACATATACAGCATCAAATTCCTTGGATGTTTAAACTAAAAATTAGTTAGGATGAAGTCTGTGAAAATGAGCTTCACTGGCTTAAAAGTACTTTGAAGATGAAAGGTTTTTCAGGTTTCACCAAGTAGTAGTTTGTTATTTTAACTCAAAGTATCATTGATATTTAATAGTTTGTCTGCAATCAAATAAACTATGACAAAATTATTTATTAATTATGATCTAATTACTAATAAATGTAAAATAATTTTTAATAATTAATATGTTCCTTTAAAAACTAAAATTTTGTTCATATCTTTTATAAGCATTTTTCAAAATTGTGAATACTAACATTACTAACATCAAATTTTACACTGCTCAAAACAATGAAGAGAAATCACAATTTAAAAGAAATCTTTCATTAAATATATATTAAATAGTTTATTAAATTTTATGGTGTGATTTCATGATAAAGTATTTCTAGTAGGGCACATTCTTAACTACTAAAAAATAGTGCACATAGCATAAAAACATTCAAAAGTTATTTGTGAATAATATGTGTTACTTTAAAACATTAAAGTTAGATTGAGAGTATTGATTATGCTATGAAATAATTGTGATATCTTAAAAATTCAAAAAAAAAAAAAATGTTTGATTCAACAGTAATTTATAATGAACAAACATTTAGAACCATCTTAAATAAACCATCTTTAGATTTTAGAATAAACAATTTAGTGGTCATTTAGTAAGTTTAGATTTGTCTGAAGTTTATCCAGTATAACTGGTTTCATATTAATGTCTTACATATATATTATACATCCTATATCATAAAGATATTTTAACATCTTTGCCAATCACTAATATGATGCAACAAATAAAGCAATACATAAATAACATAAAAGGACAGTTCTGAGTTGTACTTTAAAAATCTTTCAGTTCAGTTTATTAGAGTATAACAAACTTTTAGTAATCTAACAGGAAATTTTGCTATTTATGACAGATTATATGTGATTCATTCATATAGAAAACTTCATAGGAATTTAGAGCAAAAAATTCATTAAAAAATTTATTTTGATTGTTATTTTATATTTTTCATTGCATATTAATAAAAATAATAATAGTCTACTTTTATAAATAAAAAAAAGAGATTAAGTATTATCCCAAATCAGCAAATAAAAATTATGTCACAAGTAAAGTATTTATATATCATATATCCTAAAAACTATTTTTATTTCATTTAAAAGCAAATTAATAAATTAAATAATTTAAAATTATACTCCTTACTTCTAAAATAAATTATATAACATACCATTCCATCAAGTTTTGTATCTTTCCCAATTCCAGCTTTCTCTTTAAGTTTATCTACCATAACATATATCCTTCTCTGACATTCTTCAAGTCCTACAAGCTATATATTATAAAAATAAGTATACAAAATTATTACAATTTATGTTTATAAATATTTAATAAAAAATTACAACTTTTATTTATATTAGTAAGGTAAATAATAATAGTATTGACATGACATATATTTTCATATTAATTTACTATTAAATTTAAATGATATTAATAGGCAACATAATGATAACAAAAAAAATATAAAAATTATTTCATAAAACATTATTAACTAATGAAAAAAGATATAGTGGTATATAAATACATGCCTATTACAATATAACACAACCAAATTATATTATTTAACATATTCAGAATCCATCTTTAGAAAAATATTCTTAAATTTTTTTATAAAATGAAATGCTTCTTTCAAGAAATAGATTGTTTATTCTATTTAAAATCTCTAAATTGAAGTTATTTTTGAATTTGTTTTATCATTGACTTTAAAAAGAATCAAGAATCTTGTATACAAGGAAATAACAATTCTATATTATTTATTTACTTCATCACATTACCTCAAACCTTTCCTCAAATTCCTTAGGTTTATTCTCCATAATGTTTTCAAAAAGAATTTTCTTCCACCATCAGTGTTACATTATACAGATATTTAATATATGTGTTTTATATGTGGTTTCAGAAAAAAATTTAAATTTTAAGTTAACTTAACAAATAAAAATGAATTTGACATTTTTAAGTTTGATAGAAATTTTAAAACTTTATAATTAAATATCTGCATGGTATACTGCTGATGATGAAAAAATTTCTCTCAAAAATATTACAGAGAATAAATATAGACTCCTTAAGAAAGATTTGAGGAAATATAATGAAATGTGGATATTAATGGGTAATGAAAATTTAATTGAATTTTTTCATATAATGGATATAATATTAAATTAGTAGATATAAGTTAAATATGGCTAATAATTAGTCAAGATTCTCTGAAGTGCAGATTGTCACTAATACTTTTAGAAGTAATAATAATTCATACTTTCAATGTGTGTTAATTTCTAATAAATTTGATTAATTTCCAATTTCACTAGTTAGAAATTATTGTATATCAATGTTGTGAATTTGTAATTGTAATTGATTTTGAAAAATGTGCATTTGAGAATTCACAATTTGATGAACTGTTATAATTATTTAATTTGTTTTCTAAATTTAATGACTAAAATACAATATAACTTCATAAAGATAAACTATAATTTCATAAACACTTCAGGAAGTAAATAATTAAGAATTATTATTTAAGGTTATTAATTATAGTATTTTTGCATTATATATGACAAGAAATTACATAACATCTATAATATTCTTATATGCATTACAAATTAATAAATATCTTGCTATATAAAACAATATACAGTGGGTGATTAGTTAACAAACACAATCCATTCCAAGACTTTGTTCGCTATCTGAATTGTATGTTAACCAATTATCGATTTACCATAGATTTTAATGGGAATTTAATTAATTTGTTCTGGAGACCTGCAAAAATAAAAAATATATACTTTCTTACTACGTTTATTTATATGTAATAATAAAAATACATACATACACAGTCTTGCGTTTTTATTAGTCATGTTTTTTCCGTTTGAAAGGGTTAAAGAATCTGTCTAATGTCGATTGCTTTTCTCTTTTCTTCAGGATTTTTTGTAAGTAATTAATAATATTGTAATTGTAGAGATCCCCAAGCCTCAACCTGATTTGGATGCCATTCTAAGACCGTTGTTCTGACATCCTCCCACTTCTTCAAAGGATCTTTAATAACAGATATCGGCATTAATTCTCTTTTTCAGAAGAAAACATATTTTGCCAAGTTTCTTGGTGTTCTTCATTCAAAAGTTCTTGGCATTCTTCTGTCATCAGATCTGTTTCAGATTCCATTATGAACTCTTCGATGTTCTTTATTTCTCAGATGTGATTTTTGTTATTCCTTTAGATGCTTGAGTCTCCTTGATTATACAGGATTTTTCTTAAATAAGACTGAATTGCGGCCTACTGTAGACCTGTTCACATCATACTGCCCAGCAACATTAGGCATCTTCTGCCCACTCTCTACCTTTGCTATTATACTCTCACCTTTCGAAAAGAAAAACAAACGCAAAACTTAACGTGTGCCTACCGACAGTCTCGCGAATACACAAAAGAATTCTTTTGTCACAAAAATAAAAGGCTGGAATTACAAGGGAGAGTTTCAAAGTTTGGAGGAATACTATCTGATCAGTATATATCGGCTTGAGCATCGATGTCGACGTCTCCCGCACTCCAAAAAGTTTCAAATTGTTGCTTGAAGACAAGGGAAGACCTTCGGAAGATTGGTATTCATTATTTATGTCGCTTCTTCTTGTGTTTGTTCTGTGGGGTATTCATTATCCTATCATGTGTTCGTTGTCCGAACATAAAAATCTTTTGCGAAAGTGTTCGTTATCTGATTTGTTCGTTAACCGATCACCCACTGTATATATATATTTATATGCTCCAAAATAGCTTTAAATAAATTACTGTCAGTAAACTAAATACTGTTAGTCAAAGCTGGCCAAACAGTATATTCCTAATAAATAATTTTTTTGGCGTCAGTTTGAATTTTCTGTTATTTAGATGTGGTACCAAGTTTTATTCATTTTCAAAATACAAGTATTATTCATTAATGATTTTAAAATAAATTTTTTGTGTCCAGTGATAATTTTAAAGTAAATGATCATTTGTTATTTAATATATAATGAAAATATACTGGTACTGAATAATTTAAAAATCAAAAACTTACTAGATGATTAGTTGATGGTCCATCTTCCCAACAAAGAACTTTTCCATCCTCATTTACTAATACCACTTTAGAAAAAGAAGCACCTCTGTTTAAGAAATTTAACCACAAAATTAGAATATATATAGAACTAACTATTAATACTTATCATGCTATCATTCAAGTTATGCATATGCATATATATAAGCAGTTTAACCTGCTTATAACGTCATCCATGGGACCAGCAATTTTTTGACGTTATAACCGAGTGTCGTTATCTGCGGGGTCATAATTTTAGTCCCATAAAAGTATTAAGTCTGTTTAAGAATCTATTATAAAATTCGTCTAATTTAATATCGTATGTATAAAGGTGCAAACTAAATATTTAAATCAACTTTATTTACATTATTATGTCTAAATTTACAACGATGTAATTAAAAATTTCAAAAATTATTTTTTATAAAAAATTTTTATTTGTCAAGTTTCGATAATAGCGGCACTTTCGGTTTTGAGAATAATGTCGAATCAAAAGGCAACAAAAAGTTAAATTAAGCAAGAAATGAGAAAATTATCATCCAGGTGTTATTAACGCCTGGATGATAATTTTCTCGTTTCTTGCTTATCTATCAATAGACATGAAGTCCAATATCTTTCACTTTTAGGTTAAATTAATGTATATCAATTAAAAAGAAACAATAAAAATATTCACTTAAAAAAAGTCAGTTATTTTAGATTGTAGGCATTTTTCACCTAAAAATTGTTTATCAATGTCATTTTCTAAGTCGTAGATTTTGTTCATTATTTCCGATGAAGTTTTACGAGACCTGTAGAATTTGCTAAACCAAAGTCTCTGCATACATCTGCCTTTTTTCTTCCACTTTCAACTGCTTTAATTATTTCTACTTTGCAGTCTAATGTTAACGCTTTCCTTTTTAAGCTAGCCATTTTACCTGATTTGATGCTAAACTACAACACGAGTATGAGAGCTATGCAGACTAACCCACTGTCACGTCGTTTAAAGGGGTGGCGCATCTCACCCCATTGAATCAGGTGGTGACAGTACCACCCACAATCGTTCTAGGAAGTGGACTCTGACCTTAGGACTGAACACGTAGTATTTTCTTTGATAAATAAAATTTATAATTTATTTTTGTAAATTTAAGAGTGCTTCAAATATGACGTTAAAACAGGGTTTTATGTCGTTACAAGTGGGTTTTTAACATTATCTAGTATAGTAAAATCGTGGGACCGATAAAAATTTGACATTATATTAGGGTTGTCGTTACATCCGATGTCATTATAATCGGGTTAAACTGTATATATATATATGCAAATTATAATATGTAATCAGATCACTGTCTAATAAAATAAAATTAATATTAATTTAAGGAAAATTACTTGTACAGTGATTACTATATTAATCATTCTAGTGGAAAAATATAAAGCAAAATATTTTTGACAAATATAACTTTAAAATTATCTGGAAACAAATCATACAATTTATGTCAAAAAAACTATATTTTACAAAATATAATCGTTTGAAAACTATCCAATTCCCTCAAAAAATTTTTGTTATAAAACAAAGTATAAAATGAAACAACTCTTTTAAAGATTGATAATTAGCAGTGGAGAGATGATGTAATGAAGTAATGAACACAAGACATGCTGACAGCATTCTTAAAAAGCTAATTGTCTGTGCAAAAAGTAGATTGTTGAGAGCTCTGAGATCACGATATATACATTTTACAAACAAAATCTGATTATATTTCTTTTTACTATTATTAATTTCATAGAAGCAATAAAGCATTATTTTAAATAATTGTTGATATCAAGGGTTATGCTGCTGCCTGTCGAAAAATTGTCAATTTGGGAAAATTTTATTCATCTAGCAATTACAGTGGCAAATAGCAACAGAGCAGTCCACAAAGAAAAAAAAGTCACTCATGAAAAGAGTATCACAGAACACGAATCGGTCTTGGTTCAATACAATTTACCGTTAATAAACAAAAGTAAAGTTGATTGAGAAACTCACTCGTAAAAACTCTGCAGTTTTTATATTATCAACCATCCTTACATTTCTAGTTGGTACAAAAAGTCACAGTAAGTGAAAAAGTAATAACCTGGTTAATAACTTTCTATTTTGGCGAATAAATAATGTGTTTGGCAAACGAATTGGCGATTGCTATAAAAAAGCCAAGGTGACCCTGGATATTTCTTCAGAATTATATAAAATAACATGTTTTCTATCCTAAATACTCATGATAAATTTTAAAATAACTATAAAAATAATGAAAAGAAGGAAAAAAGAATTTTTCTGAATTAAATCATAATTATGGTATGTTACCATATAAATGCTTAATCAGCCAAAATGACACTAATCAAACAATTATACATCTTATCAAAAACCTAAAATTCATCATTATAAAAACAACAAATATTTTTGAAATATCACAGTTATTTTCAAACTGGTAAACTCTACATAAAACAAGAAAAAATAAACCAACATTCCAAAAAGCATGTTTTATATATATATAAGACCTTGACTCATATAGCTAAAATAACTATAGATATATTTTGATTAAAAAAAAAAAAAAAAAAACTTGAATTTAACACAGTCAAACTGATTTATAAATTACATATCATTGCTTTCTGTTTTTATATTTTTAGATTTGTTGTGAAGTTTAGAATCCAATTTCTGTAATTAAACCTACAGTTGACGATGACGTCGTTTAAAACTTCCTTTCGTATCAGATAACAAGATATTTCCTGACGTAATGACTTCATCCTGAATTAACAAATAAATTACTCATTATTACTTCAATCAGAATTACAACTTATAATGAGAAAGGAATTTCAAGCATTTTCCTATTGCTGTAGCTGTACTTAGATATGTACTGTACAATCAATGTTATTTCATCATAACAAAGTCAAAGTTGTAAAATAAATTGCATGTTTACAGTTTAATTAGGCAGAAGTTGCTTTTAATTAAGTTATTTTGTATGTATGTATGTATGTATGTATGTATGTATGTATGTATATAGATATATAAAGGTAACTTCTACACAGTTTTGACAGATGTACACATAATATACAAATAAATTTTAATAACTCATCGAAAGTATTGTAATTTAAACATATATTTAAACATATATTTACGATAAAATAACAATAATTTACCCTTCTACACCACAGAAATACTTTCCCATTTGGATCAGCGTTTCAAATGTTTCACTTTCGATTTTGCAAAGTTCGCCATAAAATCACAGCGCCACTTAACGGTAAATTATAAAATTCTTAAAATTATATATTAATTTTTTTTTGTAAAAAAAAAAAGAATGCAATCGTAATTTTATATACGTGTTTAATAAAAAAAATATAAGTTTTTAATTTATAAATTTAAATTATTTAAATATATATATCTTAAATCTTATTTAATAAATATATATATATGTAGTTAACGCCATCATGTAGTAATAGTTGGAACTAAGCAGAGAAGGGAAGATGAATGTATGTCACGGAAACCGGTTTTAAAGTTTATATTTGTTTATTTTTTTCTGGTTTTGACATGGATCGATAAAGTGAAAATTAATGAATATACGTAAGTACATATGTTATATGATTTATACTTAAAATACCATCAAAATGATAAATAAGTTCATATATAATTAATGTAACATATTATTGCCTTTGAAAATGAGTTATTTTTCAGATATTTAAATATATAATTAAATGTAATTACCATTATGAATTTTATATTTCTGAATTCTAGTTTTGAAATTTTCATTTCTGGTTTCATTATTTTTTTTTCTTCTTAAATAGATGAATTTTAATTAAAAAATTGTTAATTTATTGCNCAAATAAACTATGACAAAATTATTTATTAATTATGATCTAATTACTAATAAATGTAAAATAATTTTTAATAATTAATATGTTCCTTTAAAAACTAAAATTTTGTTCATATCTTTTATAAGCATTTTTCAAAATTGTGAATACTAACATTACTAACATCAAATTTTACACTGCTCAAAACAATGAAGAGAAATCACAATTTAAAAGAAATCTTTCATTAAATATATATTAAATAGTTTATTAAATTTTATGGTGTGATTTCATGATAAAGTATTTCTAGTAGGGCACATTCTTAACTACTAAAAAATAGTGCACATAGCATAAAAACATTCAAAAGTTATTTGTGAATAATATGTGTTACTTTAAAACATTAAAGTTAGATTGAGAGTATTGATTATGCTATGAAATAATTGTGATATCTTAAAAATTCAAAAAAAAAAAAATGTTTGATTCAACAGTAATTTATAATGAACAAACATTTAGAACCATCTTAAATAAACCATCTTTAGATTTTAGAATAAACAATTTAGTGGTCATTTAGTAAGTTTAGATTTGTCTGAAGTTTATCCAGTATAACTGGTTTCATATTAATGTCTTACATATATATTATACATCCTATATCATAAAGATATTTTAACATCTTTGCCAATCACTAATATGATGCAACAAATAAAGCAATACATAAATAACATAAAAGGACAGTTCTGAGTTGTACTTTAAAAATCTTTCAGTTCAGTTTATTAGAGTATAACAAACTTTTAGTAATCTAACAGGAAATTTTGCTATTTATGACAGATTATATGTGATTCATTCATATAGAAAACTTCATAGGAATTTAGAGCAAAAAATTCATTAAAAAATTTATTTTGATTGTTATTTTATATTTTTCATTGCATATTAATAAAAATAATAATAGTCTACTTTTATAAATAAAAAAAAGAGATTAAGTATTATCCCAAATCAGCAAATAAAAATTATGTCACAAGTAAAGTATTTATATATCGCAGTGTAAGCAAAGCCTAAATTAGCATGTTAAAAAAAAGTTAGTTTCAATTTATTTTTAATATAACTCAGCATTAATCTATCTCAACAAGTAACAGTTATATGCAGTTCCTACTTTATTGGAGCACAAATATTCTAAAGTCCTTTGAACTCTTGATAACGAACTGAGAAGGCTTCAAAATACTAGGGGCTTACTTATTTAGAATGTTTTACTCCAATAAAGATCAAACTGTGTATAGATACTATTACTTTTAATATTATGATAAAATAATTATATATTAGTTAATTATTAACTTTTGAATGATTTTTTTATTACCATTTGGATTAACTGTCAATATGGAACCAACAGTATCACTAACAACTGCACAAGAAGTTGATAAAAGAGGATAATTTTTCAATAATGATTTCTCAAACTGTCTGTTACTTTCTTCTTGTTCACAACCACTCAAAGCTAAGCCCTAAAATAATAAACTTGTATTTAAAATAAACATTAAATTAATTTATGAAATTAACAAACATTCAATATTGAAATTTTTAATATAAGAAACTGATAAGTCTGTACAATGTCTGAAGTTAGAGTTTTTTTTTGTACAAAAGTAAAGAAAATTCCATTTCCAGATAATTCAAGAAATTCAAGTCAATTCTCCTACCAATGAAATGTAAATTACTTGGCCAACTAAAATTGGTGAATCATGTATGCATGTTTTAAAATTAAATAGAACCAATTAAAATCTTTTTTTCTAACAGATGAATGCTACAAATTGACTAGCATAAACCCAGATTCCACAAATTAACAGGATAGATGCCTAATGCATTATCAAGTCTTTTTCTACAATTTGATGTGAGTGCTCTCCAGTTGTTACTTATACAGTAATGCACAACATGTAACATAACTTGACTGGCTGTTATTTTTATTTTCAAACTAACAAGTTATAAAATAATTTAGTGTTAATCTTTATTTTAAAACTTAAAGATTTGAAAAACAGCACATTTATAACACTACATTTATTATAATTTAACAATCAAGTGAATTAAAGCCAAACAATTGTCAGATTAAATTAGATTATATTACCAATACTAATAATTATTAAACACCAAATAATTTGGCATTAGAAATAGACATTAGGCACCATCTCTTATTAAATTTAATAATTATAATTAAATTAATATTTATTAAATAATTTAGAAAATTCTGGAAGAAAAGAATTTGCCCAAAGTGAGACTGGAATCCACAACTGCCACTTAACATTTGAATGCATTGTCAATTATGCTATTCAGATCTCCATCTGATCGGAAATTCCCAAAGAATTCAGTCTAAGGAGATAGAACAAAAACAAATTGAAAACATATACAGCATCAAATTCCTTGGATGTTTAAACTAAAAATTAGTTAGGATGAAGTCTGTGAAAATGAGCTTCACTGGCTTAAAAGTACTTTGAAGATGAAAGGTTTTTCAGGTTTCACCAAGTAGTAGTTTGTTATTTTAACTCAAAGTATCATTGATATTTAATAGTTTGTCTGCAATCAAATAAACTATGACAAAATTATTTATTAATTATGATCTAATTACTAATAAATGTAAAATAATTTTTAATAATTAATATGTTCCTTTAAAAACTAAAATTTTGTTCATATCTTTTATAAGCATTTTTCAAAATTGTGAATACTAACATTACTAACATCAAATTTTACACTGCTCAAAACAATGAAGAGAAATCACAATTTAAAAGAAATCTTTCATTAAATATATATTAAATAGTTTATTAAATTTTATGGTGTGATTTCATGATAAAGTATTTCTAGTAGGGCACATTCTTAACTACTAAAAACTAGTGCACATAGCATAAAAACATTCAAAAGTTATTTGTGAATAATATGTGTTACTTTAAAACATTAAAGTTAGATTGAGAGTATTGATTATGCTATGAAATAATTGTGATATCTTAAAAATTCAAAAAAAAAAAAATGTTTGATTCAACAGTAATTTATAATGAACAAACATTTAGAACCATCTTAAATAAACCATCTTTAGATTTTAGAATAAACAATTTAGTGGTCATTTAGTAAGTTTAGATTTGTCTGAAGTTTATCCAGTATAACTGGTTTCATATTAATGTCTTACATATATATTATACATCCTATATCATAAAGATATTTTAACATCTTTGCCAATCACTAATATGATGCAACAAATAAAGCAATACATAAATAACATAAAAGGACAGTTCTGAGTTGTACTTTAAAAATCTTTCAGTTCAGTTTATTAGAGTATAACAAACTTTTAGTAATCTAACAGGAAATTTTGCTATTTATGACAGATTATATGTGATTCATTCATATAGAAAACTTCATAGGAATTTAGAGCAAAAAATTCATTAAAAAATTTATTTTGATTGTTATTTTATATTTTTCATTGCATATTAATAAAAATAATAATAGTCTACTTTTATAAATAAAAAAAAGAGATTAAGTATTATCCCAAATCAGCAAATAAAAATTATGTCACAAGTAAAGTATTTATATATCATATATCCTAAAAACTATTTTTATTTCATTTAAAAGCAAATTAATAAATTAAATAATTTAAAATTATACTCCTTACTTCTAAAATAAATTATATAACATACCATTCCATCAAGTTTTGTATCTTTCCCAATTCCAGCTTTCTCTTTAAGTTTATCTACCATAACATATATCCTTCTCTGACATTCTTCAAGTCCTACAAGCTATATATTATAAAAATAAGTATACAAAATTATTACAATTTATGTTTATAAATATTTAATAAAAAATTACAACTTTTATTTATATTAGTAAGGTAAATAATAATAGTATTGACATGACATATATTTTCATATNTTGTAAAAAAAAAAGAATGCAATCGTAATTTTATATACGTGTTTAATAAAAAAAATATAAGTTTTTAATTTATAAATTTAAATTATTTAAATATATATATCTTAAATCTTATTTAATAAATATATATATATGTAGTTAACGCCATCATGTAGTAATAGTTGGAACTAAGCAGAGAAGGGAAGATGAATGTATGTCACGGAAACCGGTTTTAAAGTTTATATTTGTTTATTTTTTTCTGGTTTTGACATGGATCGATAAAGTGAAAATTAATGAATATACGTAAGTACATATGTTATATGATTTATACTTAAAATACCATCAAAATGATAAATAAGTTCATATATAATTAATGTAACATATTATTGCCTTTGAAAATGAGTTATTTTTCAGATATTTAAATATATAATTAAATGTAATTACCATTATGAATTTTATATTTCTGAATTCTAGTTTTGAAATTTTCATTTCTGGTTTCATTATTTTTTTTTCTTCTTAAATAGATGAATTTTAATTAAAAAATTGTTAATTTATTGCATTATAACTTATTGTTGAATTGCATTAATTAATACAATAAATTATAAATAAATGCAGATAGTTTTATAATAAATTGCTTTAAAACCCATTGCAAGTAATCTACTGAAATCTATACGTATGCATATGTTATACGAATTGCATGTTTACGTGCATAAATACATGTGATGATGATGACGTCTCTTAGCTCGTGACAAACTGAAAACATTTACCCAGATGTAGATGCTAAGGGATACCGAACGCTTCCTATATTATTCACAGGCCGTGTAATTTTACATCTGATTATACAGTCCCTCTGTAGGGAATCGTACGCTCTCCTTTATCCAACCTAGGGACCGGCTGTAGTAACACAGAGTTATATATACAGTACAGTACATATATTAGTTCTAATATACTTTTATTTAAGATCTTTTATGTCAACTTGCCTTACATCAATTTTATATATCAATATGTATAAAAGTTAAATACGCTTAATTTTGTTATTAAAATACAAACTGGTATGTTATATTTTGATTAAAAATATCTTTATCAACAAGGTGAATAACAATTTTTCGGCTCCAGCAGTTGCCAACAAGGAAATATATGTCATGAGTGTGTGCACTTTCATTGTTAAGGAAGTAAGATGTCAAATTTAAAATGCATTTTTTGTTTAAAAAAACATTGGATTTTGAATATTTTCAATGTTTTTATTATTCAAAATAAGATGATTTATGGTAGTGTATTTTTAAAGTTTATGATGTGGAAATTTTCTAATACTGTATAAAATGATGATAGCAATGAATTATTTTGAATACAGTGGATTGTTGATTATATCATTTTTTTTGTCATTCATTGTAGTTTGATGGTCTTATAATATTTTAGCATAATAATAATAATAAGATAAAATTCAAATATATATATATATATATATACTTCTCCTTGAATATCAAACATTTATGGACTGCTTAAACAAAATAAATTTGTATTTTTAAGTGTTTTTAAAACAATTTGGATATTCTCATTTGTTCTTCAGGCTAAATTATTATATATTATGATTCAAAATTTATTTTAAGACAGACAGTAATTTAGGAATTGACAGGACTTTCTTTTCTTGAACATAGAAACCGTGAAAGCCTCCTATTGCTGTTATTTGTAGAATGTCTTTCTTTGAAAACTTTATCAGTAAAGAAAAATTTTGCTCATCTTCACTTCCTGCTTTTTGACAAATTTTTTTTATTGACAATGATACTCCAGTAATCTGACTTGCACACTTTTGTGGAATGAGCAACAGGAATGATAAAATTGCCATTTTTAGCTTCTCTTTTGCAGAATTTAATGTTGTGAAAATTATTTTTTGTTTCACTGTGAAACAGTTTGTTACAAGATGTATCTTTATTTTGTATTGCAGACTTTACTAGGGTTGCCACCTGTCCGGGTTTGACCTGGAGACTCAGTGAGTTATTTCCAGGGTCCGGGGTTAATTAATATTTCTCCGGGTTGTGCAAGTTGAAATGAATATGTACAAAATTATATGCAAACCGTTGCATATATTTCTTTCCCCATGTACCAAATTATTAGTGTGGTGGTCGTTGGCTTAAAGACATAACGTCTATAACTGGTGCAGGCACAGTGCTGCTGCATGCTATGTAGTTGTACTCTTTCTTGTGACTGTTCTGTCAGGAGATGTCTATTGAGAGTGACATGATATAGCCTATATAGATGAGTTTGATGATCGGTGTTCGTGTTGGTTGATGATTAATGGTAAATTATAGTATATAGTTACAGTCAGACTCAAGCAGGTTAAATAGCATTACATAACAAAAGGTCTGTTGGACCCTTAAAAAAAATTTTTTTTATTTTTGGATGTTTTTAATTCAAAATTTTTACCCGCACAAAAAAAAATTTTATTGCTATTTTAATCAACCTTTTAATGACACATGATTAATGCTTAATTGTTTTTTATGGGATTTATATAAATAAAAAAACTGTATATGTATGCATATGGGTTTTTTTGGTTTCTTAAATCATCATCTCTGGGCGAGACTAAGTTATGAGGTGGCAACCCTAGACTATTTACACATACACATCCATGGTGACAGGCCTTCCTTCTTAGGCTTCACACCGCCAGAGGTAAAAAAAGCCCTTTAAAAAAATACAAACATCCAATTAAAAGGAATCGGTGACACACAGACATCTTACTCTTCATCCATCTGGCCAATGGGGGTGGTTATGCTTTATATCTACTAAAACAAGTGCTGGAATATGTATATTTTTTGAAGCTGTCCCCTCTGGCGATGGTACATTTAAAATTTCTTTTTGTTGATTTTTCCGTCCGATGGTGAGATTATTTGTTGATTTTTCCATCTGATGGCAAAAAATCTACATATTCCAGCACTTGTTTTAGTAGATATAAAGCAGAACCACCCCCATTGGCCAGATGGATGAAGAGTAAGATGTCTGTGTCACCGATTCCTTTTAATTGGATGTTTGTATTTTTTTAAAGGGCTTTTATTATCTCTGGCAATGTGAAGCCTAAAAAGGAAGGCCTGTCACCATGGATGTGTATGTGTAAAGTCTGCAATACAAAATAAATAGTGGTCCCTTTTGGACAGACTTGTCTTTGATGATTAATAATAATCTCTCCATCGGACAGAAAAATCAACAAAAAATAAAAAGATAAATTAAATTTCATAGTAATTTCACTGCTAACAAGAAATGAGTACTTCAGCATAACTCAGCATAACTTCCTTTCTATTTACTGTCCTTCCAAGATGAGTCCAAGAGAGTTGGCAAAATGCCAACAATTTGCAGGACTTTACTGCTGTCATTTTGCAAATAATATATTATAGTTCAATCAGTGTAGGCTGGCTGGCTATAATAATAATAAAACCAAACGACCAGAATATATTAAAATGTTATAAAAGAAATTATTTTGATTAAATGAAAACTAATCAGCAATCCGATTTGATCTAATATTCAAATCTTCATGTTCTATTTACTCTGTATTCCATCAAATATTCTGTGTATCACCTGAGGAAGAACTTTAATCAGTTCAAAAACATTTGTAACTATTCAACACATGAAAATTCATCTATAGACTATGTAGGAGCAAGAAAAACAGATAACTGCTGTTTTTTTTTTTCTTGCTCAGTTAATGCAATTAAATGCATAGTTAATTGAAGGGATGAGTGAAAATGAAGGTCAAAATTTTAATTTACAGACTTTTCTAATCTTAAAATGGTATGCAACTTCTTTTCCCCACAACTTGATAATGGAGTGAGCCCCATGCAACATTGTTTTCTCTATTTGACATGGGCAATAGAAAGGGATGGGTTGAAATTTCAATTTACAGAATTCTCCATCCATATCAAGATATAATTTAAGATTGAAACCTTTATGAAATATGGATTCCTAAACTTGCAATAAATATCATATTTGTAAAAATTTAAATGAACAAATAATATAATATTTTACAATGAAGTTTAAAATTAACAGTGGCGTGCCGTCATTGGAAGTGGTGGAAGTGCCGCTTCCCTCGTATTTTCTAAAAAATAAATACATATTGTGCGATTATTTTCATATAATTAAAATTAATATTTTATTATAACCGCATTATGTATCTTATTACAAATTTCTATACTACACATAAAAAAAAACGATAAGATTGCTACTGTATATTCAAATATTAGTGGCAGAATGGAAGCGGTATATTGTCAGCTTCCAAACAGCCAAATTATACTGATTTGCGCATGTGCTTTACAGAGTGCCAACCTCACCCAGTTTAGCTGGTGGAAGCTACACACATATAACACTACCAATGATTGTATCCAGGACCNCTATTTGACATGGGCAATAGAAAGGGATGGGTTGAAATTTCAATTTACAGAATTCTCCATCCATATCAAGATATAATTTAAGATTGAAACCTTTATGAAATATGGATTCCTAAACTTGCAATAAATATCATATTTGTAAAAATTTAAATGAACAAATAATATAATATTTTACAATGAAGTTTAAAATTAACAGTGGCGTGCCGTCATTGGAAGTGGTGGAAGTGCCGCTTCCCTCGTATTTTCTAAAAAATAAATACATATTGTGCGATTATTTTCATATAATTAAAATTAATATTTTATTATAACCGCATTATGTATCTTATTACAAATTTCTATACTACACATAAAAAAAAACGATAAGATTGCTACTGTATATTCAAATATTAGTGGCAGAATGGAAGCGGTATATTGTCAGCTTCCAAACAGCCAAATTATACTGATTTGCGCATGTGCTTTACAGAGTGCCAACCTCACCCAGTTTAGCTGGTGGAAGCTACACACATATAACACTACCAATGATTGTATCCAGGACCGATTCTGGTCTGTTAGCCGCCTGCTTATTAGATATTTGGCCGCCCTCGCCCGATTATGTGAATCATGAGTAGATTTATAACTTAACCCAACTGATAAGAATTTACTGGTATGTTTTTATGATAGTTCTGTATAGTTGAAAGGAGTTTAAAAAACTTTGTTAAAATATTTGATATTTTTATTCCGCTCTCCCATCTTATATTACGGATTTCAATGTTTAACTAGTGATATTATGATTTCGTATGTCCCATCTTTAAGGGGATGTAGAAAAAAATGTGCAATGTTAAAAAATTAACCATTACTTTGATAGCATCATTTACAACTAAATTTAATGAATGAGAGAGATGCACGAGGTACAGAAAAAGCTCTAGAATTTATTTTCCTTAAATTTACAATTTGTGTATCCATTTGTCATAAAAATTTGTTTTTCCACTTTTTTCCCAAGATTACAAATATTCTAGTACAAAGTAACTGGTTTTGACTTATTTCTACTTAAGAAATAGTTAAACAATTAAGAGATTAGGGAATTAGGGACATAAAACCTGCTGAAGGAGCTGGAATATTTAAACGAAAGCTTAACCATAATAATTAAATAAAAGCTTAACCAATCTTCAGCCAAGTACAGTGGGGACTGATTTCTTGGTAATATTAGATGTAATAAAGAAATAAATTTTTCCAGTTCAATGAGAGTGACTGAAAAGTAAATATTTTGGAAATTTCCGTGGACACCACGTGGTCCTAAAATGAATTAGTTAGAAAACAAACGACGGACAATTTATTAAGTTTAACATACAGTAGACCCCGATTAACTGTCACATCGGTTAACCGACCGTTATAGTCGGCAAATTTCAAATGTCCGCTAGTGATGTGGCATTACAATATTTGGCTNAATCTAGAAAAGCTAAATTCAAATGAGTGAAGAGAAGACCTTATCTTAAATCATACCACAAAGAAGCTAGGATCACCTGGGCCAAAAATCATATGACCTGGGACAAGGAATGGACCAAAGTTAATTTCAGTGGGAAAAAGAAGATTAATTTAGACAAACCAGATGGTTTTAAACTTTATTGGCAGGATCTACAGAAGGAAGAACACTACTGCAGCAAAAGAATGCAAGATATTTGCAAGATGGTTTCAGGAGGTTTTTGGATTAAAGGGTAAAACCCTTTTAGCACAAGTAAATAATAGGATGAACTCTGTTGACTATCAAAATATGCTGTAAATTAATTTTTTACCATATACCACCAAAATTTGTACTAGGAATTACTTCTTTTACAGGATAATGCCTCAGTTCATATCTCTGTCATCCAAGGAGAGGTTTGCCAGGAAAAATATTCAACTTTTGGATTGGCCCAAAATTTGTGGGGATTATTGTTACAGATATTTAAAGATGGTCAACAATTATCTAATGTTACAGACCTGAAGGCTGCAATTCATGATGCTTGGAATGTAATTTCTAACAACACGAAGTTGGTTAATAGCAATATACTAATAAACTAATTACATGGGATATACTAATATCCTAATAAACTATACTAATAGTGTATTTTTTTCCTTCTTTTCGGTTATCCGATTTTTTTAGTTATCCAACCAACCTGAGTCCCCAATTGAGTCGGATAATCGATGCTCTACTATATTTAGATTTTTACAGCTATTGCGAGAAACGTTTAAAATTTACAACAATTCTGTTGCGTCCTTTGAGGTATACTAGTGATGTGACTAAACAGGCATTTGATATTGACCAGTATTGGCAACCTTGGGATTTGGCAGCTCGCGTGCATGCACACACTGCAGGACCATTTCTGATCCCAATCATTAGCCATTGGTAGGGAGCTATTTGACTAAGTGGATTGTTTTAAGATTTAAAAAGTAAAGAATATTTTGTTATTTTTATGTATGTTTCTTTACAAAGCTATATTTAATTATAATTTTCTTTAAAAGTAATATTTATACAATTGAAGAATATTTAATACCAGGTAAGTATATCCACCACACATTTTATTTCACCAAGTAAGTTTTTATTATTTTATTTATAATTTTAGCCCTTATATCATGGCTAACAATTCGGAATGTAATTGTGATATTAAAAATACATTTAGAGAAGACTACGGTTTTTATTGGCTTATTGAACAAACAAAAACAAATGGACTGTAGACCAGGGGTGGCCAACAGTTTTTGCCCCCGGGCCAAATTGGAAAGAAAACTTTTCCATGGGCCAAACCAGAGGCTGCCCTAGGAAGATTTTGATGTGGTATGAGATCTCATTGTGGTGTCACCCTGTAGAGACTAAATTGTACATAGAGATTATAGATACATTTTTCACATTATCATGCTTTATCAACATTCTATGTGCTGTACTTAAGAGATTTGTAATGGAGGGTTAACTCTAAAATGCACAGTGAGTTATTGACCTTTTTTTTTCTTTTTTTAGGCATCAGAATTTTTCATCAAGCTATTCGGACTTGAGTAGCTAATATTGAAAGATTAATCGCGGGCCACATAAATTCATTAGATAAGCCGTATGTTGGCCATGCCTGCCCTAGACCATCACTGACGCGCAGTTAACTGATTGCCCCTGGAAGTCAGCTTTTTGCAGAAACACAGCTTCCCTATCGTCAAATGTCACGGCACGCCACTGAAAATTAATGTCATCATGCAATTAATGTTTAAAACACTTATTATACAGGAAACAAGCATGCAATGCTATTCAATTATTGCTTTGACCAACTATTACTTTATTTGTTTAAAGTCATTGCTAAAGACCTATCTATTATCTTCATCTTTAGGAATTGGAATCAACATTTACAAAACTTGCAATATGTAGTATATAGGATATAAATAAAAACATTGAACCAGACTCTATCTTTCTTCTGCTCTGTACTAGCTAAATAAAAGTGTATAAGAGTACAGTAGAGCCTCGATTATCCGACTCAATTGGGGACTGGGGTTGGTCGGATAATTGAAAAGTCGGATAACCGAAAAGTATGAAAAAATCCATTATTACTGTAGTATATTATTATATCCCATGTAATTAGTATATTAGTATATCACTATTAACCTACTTCGCGTTGAATTTTCATCGATGTTAAGCCTAACAAAAATTTTTAAAAATAATAATCGTCGCTATTGTATCGTTAAAAATTAGAAAATTAAGCCTCGTTTAAATACTGGCTCCCTTTCATGGTCAAATGAGGGTTGCCAGCTAAAACACGTAAAAATAATATTAAAGTAGCCAAGATATAGCCAAATATTGTAGTGCCACATCACTAGCGGACATTTGAAATTTGCCGACTAGGATGGTCGGTTAATCGGGGGTTGGATAATCGAGGCTCTACTGTATAGGCAATTAGTAGTGGACTGTTTAATGACATAGTTGCCATGCATCACAGAACTTCCTTACAATGGAACCAAATTCTATTGTAGCTTCTATGAAAGATAGCACAGTTTAAATGACAGTCATAGAATGTCTTATAATTAGTACAAAATGGTTTTTGTCCAGTTAAAATACTCAAAATGTCAGCAGTTGGACACTGTCAAAAATGGGTGTGGGAAACTGTGAGGTACTTCTCTGCATGATCTCATGCACTCAAGATAGTGAACTGCATAAAGGAAGTAGACTCTTGAGTATGATGTAGTTTTAAAAGATTATTTTAAAACAAACTAAATCATTCTGATATTCTCAAATATTGTACAGTAGAGCATCAATTATCTGAAACAATTTGGGACTGGGGTTATTCGGATAACTGATCGTTTACAAAAAAGTATATTAAACACAAAACTGTACTGTGTATAATTTGTATCACACATCTTACAAATACATACCTTACATAATGTAATAAATTAAACTAGACCTACAGTTCAGTTTGGCAGGGAGGGGAAGAGTGCTGCAACACTACAGCCCTAGCGGAAATTTGAATTTGCCGACTGGAACACTTTCGGTTAACCGATGTTTTGGTTGATCAGTATTTGGATAATCGATGCTCTACTGTATTTCCATTTCAGCTGATTAGTCTAAATCATTTGTATATTATGTGATACCCTCAACACCTTTGTTTTGTAAGAAAAATTACTTCAGACTAAGCACCGTAGATGGAAACTTTGTATCTAGAAGATATGATATCTTTTTTTGAAAATTGTATTATTCAGGGGCAATAGTATATTAAAACTCTGAGTTGCTGTTTGTTTTAATTTTAGAATTAACTTTGTTTTTATTTTTTCAAATTAAATAAAATTATGAATTAGAAAATACTAAAACTTCATGCAAATTCATGAGCATTCATGAGTTTGACTTGAAACTTGATGCTGAGACTTACAATGAGCTAGCTAAGCAGCAAGTTCAGCTGGTCCCAATGCTGTCAAACTTCTCTGCTACTTCTTGCAAGTTTTACTTTTGTTTGACAATCTGATATTTAATATAATTTACTTGTTGGATTGTTATAAATAATGTTGAGTTTATATAAGAGAAATGGATAAAATGTATTTATTTATCTTTTTGAAATTAATAATATAATAATAAAAATAATAATAATTTTCTTTTATTTTTAGGTTACCAGAAAAGAATGATAAGTATTTATAAATATTAAAATCTAATTCTATGATTGGCATAAACATGTTGGCAAAATTCAGATTTTATATCTTATTAGTTGGGAGCTCAGCTATAATATTTTTAGTTCTTTATAAAACTTTAAATGGTGAACAAGATTCAGAATCAACAAATAAAGTGAATAAAGTTCAAACATCTAAAAAGCTTCGCCCCATGGAAAATATAAATGATTTAATGCCAGTAACACAACCACATTATCATATGGAACATCAGAAACTGCGAGAAGCTGAAGTTCATGCTCGAATTAATCAAAATATTCGTCGAAGCACACAGTTAAAGCGTGATAATTTAAATTTTGCAAATAAAATTGAATCATTTAAATCTGTCACCAATGGAGAAAGAAATCAACCTGATACAAGTTTTCTGCTTCATAAAATTGTTCATCTAGATTTAAAAGGTGCTCCTCCAACAATAAATTATTATTCTCAATTATTTCCATTATTGCACTCGCTTGGAGCTACCGGACTGCTTATAGAATATGAAGACATGTTACCTTATTGGGAACCAATTGAAACTCTCTCAGCACATAATGCCTACAGCAAAAATCAAATTGAGCAACTTTTACGACTTGCTCAGCTAAATAAGCTTGAAGTTATACCTCTAATTCAAACATTTGGACACATGGAATTTGTATTAAAACAAATAAAATATCAGCAGTTAAGAGAAGTGCCACTTTATCCACAAGTTATTTGTCCATCACAAAATAATTCCAAAATATTATTGACCCATATAATTGATCAAATTATATCTTTACATCCAGGAATAAAATGGTTACATATTGGTTGTGATGAAGTGTATTACATAGGTCAGTGTGATCTTTGTCAACATAGAATGACAACTAAACAAATGAATAGTGATTTGTTGTTTTTAGAACATGTAAAATTTGTTGCTCAGTATGTTAAAAGTAAACATAACGTTCAACCTATCATGTGGGATGATATGTTTCGCCATGTTTCTAGTGACATAATTCAGGCTTCTGAAATATGGAAATATGTTGAAATCATGGTATGGCAATATGGCCCAAATATTGAAGCTAAGTTGACACAAGAAATTTGGGAAAAGTATCAATTAATGTTTTCAGGTATATGGGTAGCTAGTGCCTTTAAAGGTGCAACAGGCCCTAATCAGTTTCTTACAAACATATCATATCATTTGGAAAATCATCATTCTTGGATGAACTTTTTGCAAACTTTTCATAAAAAGATTCCTCTTCGTGGTATTATTTTAACTGGATGGCAGCGATATGATCACTTTGCTGTTTTATGTGAGCTTCTTGCAGCATCAATACCATCACTAGCTGCAGATTTATTATATTTGAAAGATGGATTCTTGGACCAAAACAAATTACATGACATTTTACATTGCAATGGGGATTTGATTTTATCTGGTAATTATACTTTTGATGAAGTAATTTGCAATTATCCTGGTGGAAAAGTCTTTAAAGGAATGCAGCGACTACAGCAACTAAAACATCAAATAATGAAAATGATGAAGGATAATCATGTTGTTGGATGGATGAGTGACTATAATATACAAATGTCATTTTCTAGTCCAGCCCATGTTGAATTAGGCATGCGGAAATTGGGCGAAATACAGACCAATGCAACATTACTTTATACATTCATGCAAAATATCATGCCTGAAGTTTATGATAAATATACCATTGATGAATGGTTACAAACATATATGGATCCCATTATGTTACAATTAGAAAATCTGAGCAATACTGCTCAAAAATTGTTAAAATATTCTGCTTGGCCACGGAGACCTTTGAACAGTAATGAATAAACAAATTTGACTTCATGAATTTGATCAATTTTATATTGAAAATTTCTATAAATATATTTATCATTTTTCATTTTTATTTAGCTTTAAAGTAAATTTTTGGATGAGTAACTTTTAGTGTTAAAAACTCTTCCATCTTTTATACCTAAATTTATCCTAACAGGGAAAAATATGTCAATTTTAACTTTCCACAGAACTTAAAGATGTAAGTTTTTTAAATTTTGTAATTCAGTAGAGCATCTTTTTTTAGTTGAGTTTGAAATTTTTACAAGAAAATGACAGTTTATTGAATAAACTGCTAATAGAATATTGTTTATATAGAATATTTAAAATATACCTTGCTGATCAAAGAAAGTTTACTTATAATGTACAACTTGGTGATGCTGTGAGCTAGTTGTGCTTGTTGCCTTCTGTGTGTTAGAAGAAAACCTTAAGTCTTGAACATTTATTTGCTTTAAACTTGAAGAATGACATTTGAAATTCCTCCTTGACATTACCAAGTCTACTCAGAAGTAAACTTTTTACTTAATATTCTATATAATTCATATTCAGTTGTTTTAACTTTATTTTCTTTATACTCTTTTGTTATTCATAACTTTATATGAAACTTTTGTTTTTATATATATATTTTTTAATATAATATATTATATATATACAAAATATATTTGATTAAAAAGTTTACAGTTTAAATGCTTTAAGCTAATATATTAAGTTTGTATGTGTTTACATATTTTTTATGATAAAATTGAGCTTTAGACAAATTTTCATCATATATTGATATTTAATTATAAAGATAAAAGTTTGTTTAAAAATGTTCAGTAATCAAAGAGTAATCAAATATCATTTTTTATAAATTAAAAAATTCTATATCTTCAAAATAATAAATTCCTTCTTTAAAATATTCATTTAAAATATTTTCCGTTTATCAATTCAATTTCACAATAAAAATAAAAAAATACAGTAGAAACTTGATTATCCGAAACAGTTTGCAAAAATAAATAAAAACAGAATATGTAGCATTGTTCAAATTGGTGAATATAATACATGTGACTGGAATCACTGCATCATCTGATGATTGCAGTATTGTGAAACTAGGCCATATACTTAACATTACATTAGCATTCATAATGTTACTTTCAAATATAGTAATTGCTGGTTCATGAAACTTCAAATGCATAGTGCTTGATGTACACAAAACACAAACAAATTTCTGGATTATTCAAAATTTCATTTATCTGAATAATCCCTGGTGCCATCCAGTTCAGATAATTGAGTTTCCACTGTATATCTTATTTTGAACTTAACTAATTGTATTATTAGAAAAAGTACATAAATAAAAGATGTCAACAATTTTGAAACTATTTCAAATTAAAGTTGTTGACAACAACTATGTATTAATAATATATAGTTTATAATAATTGTAAATGGAACACATTTTCTATGTTTAAGAAACTTTAGAAATTTCTTTTTGAAATTTGTTTAACTCTGATGAAAACATTTTCAATATAGTAACATGAAATTTAGAAACAATTTTTTTCTTCTACAGAAAATGTCGTAATCTAAGTTTTTATATGTAGATTTAAATAATATTCTTGTACTTGTTCATCTATTTTTATGGAACTTAAAATATAAATGATTGTACACATATAAGGTGTGTCCCAAATAATTATCAACATATGTTGTTTTAAAATTTTTTTTTAAACTATCAGTTATATTAACTAGATAAAAAATGTTGTTTTTAATTATTTTTTTATTAAAAGAATGAAATGTTTCAAAGTTGCATATTCCATACTTTTTTTTAAATTAGCAGAAAAAGTTTTACCCTGTCCCATTAAATTATCAACTGTTTGTTAAAAATACTTTCTAGGAACATATATGCACATCAGTTTGCATTTTCATATTTATATTGTTCCTGTGTATGTATATGAAAATATTTGATGCATTTGAAGCATTGGAAAGTTTTGTTACTATAGGTGAAAAATATGATTTAAGTGATTATGAAAAAGACAAAATTGATGCCTGGACAGTTGAAAGCATTTCTCAAAATGAAATAACTTGAAGATTAAATAGAGCCAATTCAACAATAAGCAAATTTTTGCAGCTGAAAGGAGGTTCATCAGGAAAATCAAATTTTTGACAAAAAACGAAAATGGCTGCTCGACTATAAAGGTGTATATTTTACTTGGCAATAAAAATCCAATATTCTGTAAGACAAATAATAGAACATTTGCGTGGTTGAGTTTCAAAATCAACTGTTCACACTTTGTTGAAATCTAGAAAAGCTAAATTCAAATGAGTGAAGAGAAGACCTTATCTTAAATCATACCACAAAGAAGCTAGGATCACCTGGGCCAAAAATCATATGACCTGGGACAAGGAATGGACCAAAGTTAATTTCAGTGGGAAAAAGAAGATTAATTTAGACAAACCAGATGGTTTTAAACTTTATTGGCAGGATCTACAGAAGGAAGAACACTACTGCAGCAAAAGAATGCAAGATATTTGCAAGATGGTTTCAGGAGGTTTTTGGATTAAAGGGTAAAACCCTTTTAGCACAAGTAAATAATAGGATGAACTCTGTTGACTATCAAAATATGCTGTAAATTAATTTTTTACCATATACCACCAAAATTTGTACTAGGAATTACTTCTTTTACAGGATAATGCCTCAGTTCATATCTCTGTCATCCAAGGAGAGGTTTGCCAGGAAAAATATTCAACTTTTGGATTGTACAAACATAAATCTAATGGAAAATTTGTGGGGATCATTGTGAGACAGATATTTAAAGATGGTCAACAATTATCTAATGTTACAGACCTGAAGGCTGCAATTCATGATGCTTGGAATGTAATTTCTAACAGAGTTTTTGAAAATTTAATTAAATGTATGAAAAATCAGATATTTAAACTAATTTAAATAATTTAAACAATAAGTTTATTGGTTAATAATTCTCGTTTTCTATATGTAATTCACCTAATTTACTTAAGTTGATAATTTTTTGGTACAGAGTAAAATTTTTTCTGCCAATTTAAAACAAAATATATGGAAGATACAATTTTGTAGCATTTAATTTGTGTAATAAACATGATTAAAAACAAACATTGTTTTTATCTAGATAACTAGTATTTTTTAAATTTTAAAACAACATATGTTAATAATTATTTGGGATGCACCTTAATTTCTTGTTCATAAATACTCTAACATCAATTTTATTGGATGCAATAAAGTGTGTTATAGATGACACATATGTATAAGTTCAAATGAATTATTGTCTGTACTGTTGCAAGTATAGAGGAGCTTTCAATTAATGCACTTTGTAAAAGGACTTTCAAGTAGCTGAGATGGTCTCTGTGTCCTTGTAATTAATAGCCTTTGATCTTCTGGCTGCCTTATATATTAATTTGAACTTATATTCTAATATTTTTCACTTCTAGACAATTGTGAAATAATAAATTATGTAAAATTTTATTTTAATGAATATAAACAAGAACACAATCTTTTTCTTCCAAATGGAAAAAAGCTAAAGGGAATAAATGGAAAATAAGGCATAAGGCACATTCAATAGAAAATTGGAAAAGTGTCATTAAAAGTTGGGAAGATGAGCAAAAGTATAGTAATTTTGACACACTAAACTTCCAAATCAGAAGCAACAATAACTATGAGTGGCAACACTATTGATGTATGAGAACATAATACAACATATTGATAAAATGGCAGTATTTCTCCAGCAGTGCACAAAGCAAGTGCAGTGTGGTGTTGTCTGATTTTTGACAAAAATCCAATCAAGATCCATCGGCACTTGAAGGTACAGTAAGGAGACAAATACATGAGTTTCACACAGGTGTATGAGTAGAGTTCTAAGGTTTCAAAAACATCCACAGTTCTGTGGAACTTTCCACAGAACTGTGGATGTTTTTGGAATCTTAACTCTATTCGTACACCTGTGTACAATTCATGTAGTTGTCTCCTTACTGTACCTGCAAGTGCCAATGGATGTCAATTGGGATTTTTGTCAAAAATCTGCAAGTGCAGTGTAGCATTGTCTTTATGCACTGCTGGAGATGTGCCATCATTTTATCAATCTGTTGTCTTGTTCTCACACATCAACAATGTTGCCAGTCATAGTTATTGTTGCCTCTGATTTGTAAGTTTGTGTCATTTAGCATACTTTTGCTCATCTTCCCACCTTTTAATGACAGTTTGCAATTGAATGTGCCTTGTACATAAAGAAATAAAGCATAACTATTTATAATTTTGCATAGCATGGAATTTATGGAATTTGTAATTTTGGCTAGTATATTTCAAAAATGTAGGGAAAAAATCCATAGCATTTATTAAGATGAAAAAGTGAATGTATTGTACTGTACATATACAAAGAATTTTTAATAATAATTACGTGTAGAAAATTTAATCAAAACTGTTTTCAAATGTTTTTGATAATTATGATAAAGGAATGATTGCATAGTGTAGCTAAGTTAGCATATAACTAAGTTAAAGTTTGATAATGATAAGTTAAAAAATTGCAGTATGCTACAGATATATATAGTCTTTTCTAGGCATACTGTTATAGCTTTTATCATTAACATTTAAATCAGTTATATATAGAAATTCGCTTAAATGTTTCATTAGCATTAATGAATATAGTATTCTGTATGATATTTGGAAAAATAATTTAGTTTTTAGTTTAAAAATAATTTTGTTTAATTATTTTGCATTGTATATGATTACTTGGAAATACAAGTTCAGTACAATTACAATTAAATATCAAAATTATTTTTCAGGGGCATGGATAGTACAAGAGTGGGCTGGCACCCACTCTAAGATTTTCACACTCACCCATCCATTCATCCTGAAATACTTTATTCAAGTCTGCCTATAGTGACCTTATCAAGGGAGTTTTTTTAAAATATGAATTGATTGTTTGCCAAATAATTACATGTTCTCACTAAAATTTTCATTTACATGTCTTACTATAAAATGAATAAGTAAGTTTTAAAAATTAGTTTATTTCACAATAAAATTCACAGGTAACACCTACCCCACTAAAACAGTGTTCCATCCCATTTCCATTTTCCCATAATGAAAATCCTAATGCCAGTACTATTCAGGAGAAGAGTACTGTACAGTACATGTAAATCATAAATGTTAACTATTTCTTTATTATACAGTGTAAATTTATTATTATTGCAATTGATTAAGTAAGATAGAACAGATTAGCAATGCTAGCTTCGAACTCAGATTTCAAAATTTAGTCTTTTATGAAAAAAAAAAAAGAATACAATATGAAATTTTAATTAACAGTAAGCCTTTAATCCTTTTTTTAAGATATTTAATAGAAATATACTTTATTACAGATGCATAGAATATTATTTAAATGAAACTATGTATGATAACTCTTTCATTGGGCTGCAATTTGAAAAAATTGAAGACTTATAAATTCCCCATTGTCATCTATCCATTTGTCTGTCCTTCCTTAATCTCAAGAATGGAGTTAGATACATGAATGTCAAGATCAGATATAGAAAGCCTAGGGGCAGGAGGCTCCAACTAACTATATACTGATGCAAACCAGAAGTCACGTTATTTCAATTCAAAAATTTTTCCCTGAGAGGAGTTAGATAGATGACTGGCACAACTCCATTGCTAATGGAAAAGAATGATGTAGATGTACTATACTAATACTACAATAATATACAACACAATACTAATTTGAGGTGAAGGGTATATATTTTAAATTAAATAAATTAAAAATATGATTAAAAATTGCAGCCTGGCATTGTGGCAATGTCACAATAAATAATTGCTCATTGTAATAATATTCTATGTATGTGTAATAAAGTCTATTTGTATTATATATGAAATTTTAACTTACTTTCCATTCAGTAAAAT